CTCATATTACATATATTTGGTGAAATTTGATATTTTTTTCCAAAAACATAGGGTCTGAGGAGGTCCGCCCGGCGTCTAAGACTAGGTTTCAGACTCTTAGATTCTACCTGGGTGTTACATACCATTTCGACAACATTTAGTTTGTTATATAATATTTAGACAACGTTCTGAATGTTATATATAACATTTTTTTTGATATCTAAAATTTGGACAACATTTTATTTTTTGCTACATAAAAATTAGACAATATTTTTTCATTATTTTATTTACCATCAAACAACGTTTCGTTTGTTCCCCTTACTTATGAAAAATAAGTTTTAAAAAAGGCAAAAAAAACTTTGTCCATTCTGAGTTTGAAGAAAGTAATTCAAATTCAAGGCTTATATGTTGCTTACCCTATTATAGGAGAAGTGAGGTCCATCAATCTTTCCTTCTTTACAAAGTTTTGTTAGAATTTGGCTTGGTTTCATTGGATCCCGCCATTTATTATATCCACACGGATCGTACTTTGTTGCTAGGCCGCAGGTAGCACGGTGCCGACTGTAAAACCGGTTTTCCAAATCCAGTCTTGTCTCCCCTGAACAAAATGGCGGTAATCATGCCTGTAAATGTAAAGTCATTTTGATCAGAAATAGTTTATTACTTGGAAAGGGACAGACTTGAATGTAAACAATAAAAAGTTTATTGATGTCGTTTCAAAGAAAGACATTTCACAAATAAACCCCAAAATTTTATTTTTAGGTTTGATATTCCAAAAGTTTTCATTGATAAGTTAAACTGTTTAGCTATTTTTTGTTTCAAACAATATTTACAAAACTTTCTGAAGCCTTATAGATACAAATATAAGTATGAATTTTCTAATCCTGTAACTATAACAAGTTTTCTTTGTCTAATTAAAAAAAAAAAATGTGAAATATGAAATGTCCAATCTAGGAAATGCCGGATTTACTACTTAAATGGAAAGTTTCTACACCAAATGTACGGTTTGTAAACTAAACCTTTTATCAAATTGCATCAATATAAGTTCTCAAAAAATGTCCAAAATTAAACAAATCATTTTTGCATTATTACTATGTTACCAATGAGATCATCTGAACCCAGCAAATCCCAATCATATAGTTGAACAGAAAGCATGGAGTCTTGCGGAAAGGAAGCTTCAATCTCGAAGCATCTAAGAAAGCAAATAAGCTATAAAGCTTGTATTCCAAAGCAACAAATAACATCTAGAAAATTTAATTTAAAGTCAAGTAAAATAAATGTAAAACTTTGCCTTAAAAGTCAAGCATACATAAGCATCTTAAGCAACAAAACACTATTTAGAAGCAAACAGCATTTTTTCCAGAGTCGAAAAAAGGCTATAGGGTACCAGGGTACCATGGTTAAATCTATATGTGAAGTTTTTAAATTGAGGATTATTTAAAGGGAAAAGGAATTCTAAAGAATTACTGACATGAGTTAACTTACTTTCCAAAAACTGGATTCAGCTGTTTCGAGATATAGTTTTCTTTGTCTAAAGAATTAATATACAAATCAAAACAATTTATTAATGAAAATCATAAATTTAGTTTCAGTAGAGACAAAATTATATGTTTTAGTCATAATCTTTTTGTTAATTATTTAAAACAAATTTTTTGAGCTGCAATAAATTCAAAAATCTTTAATAAATAAAAAATTCAAACATTTTTATAGCAGGAACACAGAAAAAACTGTGGAATATAAAGACAATATTTAAGTAATCTTATGTGTATCTGATGTAGTTATAAAATAAAAAGTTTTACCAATAGCTGGAGAATAAACTTATTTAGTAAAATTGGTCTGAGTACACTGCATTGCGTTTCATGTTTTAATTTGACGCTAACAGTCGTCGTTCTAAACCACAGTTTTACGAATCCCACTGTCGTATGATTATATGTATGTTGTATATTAATCCCTGAAACTCGTTTAGATCCCAGCTGCAGGACTAGATATGGGTCAGCTTTACCATTTATATCCATAGGATGAAGATCCTGGATAACAAGAATATAATCTTACAACTTCTATCAACGGACAGGGTTGCCACACATGATTTAATATTTCCGTTCAAAATTATATTTTTTTTTTGAAATTCCACAGGCAACGTTGGGCACTTCAGCAAGTTTTTAAGTATAATTCTGAGCATCCATAATTCTTCCCTGGGGTCATGTGAGGTCCTACACAACATTTGGACTTGATCGGTTCAGCCGTTTTGTCGTTGGACTAACGGACGGACAGCAGACAGACACAAACAAACAAAGTATATCAATTCCGAACTCTGAACAAACAAAGTATAAATTCCGAACAGTCGTCTCTGAAGCCTCATTCTATGTGGGTAACCCTGTATCTAATAGCAACAAATGGGCCTTTTGTAAAATGAAAATATTTGACTAGTTCATCTCACTGAAATCATAGTTTGAAATCTACAGCTTACTGAGAGGAATAGGAAATTAAAGGGAACACACATGTTTAGGGATATTTATGCAAAGTGTTATTTTTTTGGGCAACATTTTGGAAAATTGCAACACGAGTTACAAAGAAGATTATGTTTCCTTTGCTTTGACAATATAAACTCGAACTAACACTCGAATTGGCTCGTTGGATGGTAATCCTTGAAAGAACCCTTAACATCTTTCATTTAATCCTCAATAATTAAGAACAATTTTCATTTTTAAAATTTGATTTAAAGAAAGATTTCAAGAGAGAGGATTGAATGAGATGCCTGTTTGTGGATCGCCTCCCATGAGCGCATTATCGAACACATCCCTAGGGATCGGAAGCTTGTAGATCTTAATCGATCCCTGAAATAATATTAGGTCAAGAAATCTTTTAAAATTTTTTTTAATGCTTAATCTTTTTACATTTTACCCAATTCTAATGCTGCAATGGATTAATCAACTAAATCAATCAGCCTAAGTAGGAATGATTTTGATTTTAGCTGATACTTTAACATCCTATAAATCCAACCTTGAATTTTCCTACGACCCTATTCTCCTCCTCTAGCTCCTCCTCAGACTTCTTCCCCCTGTACAGGTCAAAGGTCTGCAGCCACTCGGAGAACCCCTCGTACTCAGACTGCGTCTCCAGCTCGTTCGGAAACACCTGTAAAATATAGAATTTAATAACGCGAAAATTTTATTTTGATAAAACGCGAATAATAGATTTTAAAAAGCGATAATAATTTTCAAGAATTTCGATTTTTTAAAGAAACAAATGCGAAAAAAATATGTTATAATGTTCAAGTGTAAATAAAAAAGTTTACAAAAATAGCTTTGTAATTTTGCAAAAAAAAACACTTTCCCGATAATATAGGTATTTTATAAACAAATAATTTCTTATTAAAAGCTCAAAAAAGTTGATTTAAAGTTAAACAAACATAAATTGGTATGCCAAACACAGTGCAAACTTTGATGATAAAAAACCAAGAGTTTTGCAGAAAAATGTATTTAAAAGTTTTATTATTTCTAACCTTGAGCAGAGCAACCTTAGATTTCTCTGGTCTGGTTTGGTGTCTTGGACTGAATTTACCCCAGGTCTTTGCTACATCAGCTACATGCTTCAGGGCACTCAACATATATATATTGATACAACCTCTGAGGCAGAATTTAAAGAGTTTGAACCACTTCACTGAACCTTCAATAACCAGTTCCAATTGAGCGCCGGCTCAAATCTCAAAACACTTATTAAATTTTCAGCTGAACCAACCATGTTTGAACCGCGACTAGACCTGGTTCAAATTCTTTAATTACGCCTCTAATTAGACATTTCAAACTTGAATTATTTGATCCAAACAGAATTCATAGTTTGAAATATCTAAGGTATTCACGATATTTTGTTGCAACTATAAAGGGATTAAACAAAAAAAGGAAAAATTAGGTTTTTATCAAATACTCAATTTCCGTTCTAAGTTTCAGTGAAGGAGCTAAGAATCTGTTAATTAAGTTTTAATCCATCTTATTCTAAAATTCCCGGCTCAGGTGTTCAAAATCAAATCAGGACAGTTTTTTAAACATAAAAAACCAATTCGTTAGAGGAACAAACTAATTTATACTTTTTTAAAACATTCAAGTGACTCTCCATGCAAAAATCTCAATGCCCGATTTACCAAGGAACTCTTAAAACCTTCATCAAAAATGTGAAAGATAACTGCTCTCACTGCCGGGGTTTTAATTATGTGAAATATTGCACGCTTTGGTTCGTTTTTAACTTTCGATAATATTTTTGTCAAAGTCAGCTCTTTTCAAAATTTGCCATATTATATTTTAAAAAATAGAATAGCAAACAAAAAAATCTATCGTTTTAACACGTTTTCTTGGCATAGATTTTTTCTCCAGGGCAAAAATTTGCCATTGTGTAAGAAAAGAAAAGGTTTAAAAAAAAAATTTTACCATGAGAGAAAATGCATATTCGAAAATTAATCAAAGAAATTAATGAAAACGAATAACAACACTAATTGCCCGCTTAATAGTTGAGTCTATTTTAAAATTTCAATATTCAGGAGTTAATTAATTTGAGCTAAAAACTTTAGAATGGTGGATATCGAGATTAATGATTGATCCTCTCTTTTTCTTAATATCGAGACTAACCTAATCTTGTACTTATATCCTAAAAAGTGTATAGATTTAACCAATCAGAGTCGTGTATAAGGAGCCGATAAATTTGAAATTATACGCGCCATTTAAGATTATATACAGAAACGGGAGGAACTCTCTAATTTTAAAAACCGGTTTTTGATTTTCTCTATTTTATCCAAGAAAGATAAGGGATATCTCATTCTAAAATTTCAGTTCTGTTTTATTTTTTTTTCTACCTGATAGATGATTTCTTTTTGGCCTTGTCTTCATGTTCTTCTGTAAGCTTAGTTTCTGCCAGACCTTCTCCATAATGCTTAGCTTTTCCTTCCTAATTATGGATACTTTCAAGTTAAATGTTTAACAGAGATTTATTTTTCATTTGGAACTTTTCCTCAAAAAAAGAGATTATATAAAAACACGATAAATTAATTAATTCTGTCACATTCCCAAAATTATATAAGATATATTGGATACATCTTTTATTTATATGTTTTCTTGCATTCCTGGTTTTTATAAGCTTTGCACGCTTTTTCCTTTCAAAATCATTTAACATTCCTTTTTTCTATAATCATAGATTTATTGATTTATTATAAAACTTACTTGATTTAATTTCACAGTAAACCTTTGATTTGATTTTGCTCACAAAATTCATTTACCTTATATTTCATATTCAAAAGCGGGCACAATTAATTTTTCATTACTTTTTTTATTACTTTTACAAATCTAAAACCTAATTTCATCCTTTTTCTATGGGTAAATATTTATCCCAGCCAACATTTACATTATTTCATATGTTTTGAAAAGAGAAGGATCAGGTTTTCTATGGGTAAATATTTATCCCAGCCAACATTTACATTATTTCACATGTTTTGAAAAGAGAAGGATCAGGTTTTCTATGGGTAAATATTTATCCCAGCCAACATTTAAATTATTTCATATGTTTTGAAAAGAGAAGGATCACGTTTTTCTTAAATTTTTTATTACATTTTCCACACACACGGTTTAAAACTCTCTCTAAAAGAACGATACAACTTGTATATTTTATGTTACAGGGTTACCATTAAAATATGAAACTTTAATGACTTCTTGGAACCCTTTGAACATGAAAATTTGAAGGTTAAATTTTTCCATTTTCTAAACCATAAATAAAACTTTATATAAATTAATTAAATTAAATGTGTAATTATTTCTATTCTGTACTATAATTTATTCAGGTATACGTTCATGAACTAATTTACATTTTTATTAAAAAGTTACAATAAAAGTGAAAAATCTCATGCAGCATGCTTTTTATACAATCTTATTTGAAGCATCAAAGTTAGTATTAATCTGATAGTACTATACCTCCAGGGTGGAGGGTGGATACTATACCTCCAGGGTGGAGGTTGGATACTATATCTCCAGGGTGGAGGGTGGATACAATACCTCCTGGGTGGAGGGTGATACAATACCTCCAGGGTGGAGGGTGGATACTATACCTCAAGGGTGGAGGGTGGATACTATAGCTCCAGGGTGGAGGGTGGATACTATACCTCCAGGGTGGAGGGTGGATACTATACCTCCAGGGTGGAGGGTGAATACTATACCTCCAGGGTGGAAAGAGTAAGGGTTGACGTAGATAATTTCTCTCTAGAGTCCAGTAAATGAGAAGTAGAGTCAGAAGTTTTTTTATTACGTTTCATCTGATAAAAGGCACATGCAGGCAGTAGAAAACAAGATATTCATGCAAAATACATTTAAATTATTGATTTAAAAAACTCTTCTCCTGAGACTCGTTTTCTTTTAGAAATATTAAATTATCAAAGTTAAGCAACATTTCAGATTTTTATCGTTATAAAAAGAATTTAACATGTTTAACCCTTCCTTACTCCAAAGACTAGATGTTGCAATAGCAGCGAGGTTTGGGGTAGATCTACACAGTTTTAATAATTAAAGAAACCAAACCAGATGTCTCTAGTGGTCAGCTGACATGATTCGGAAAATATTCTCTAAATCAATTTATGACAATAATGGTTTCCTTTTACCGCTTTTAAACGTTCATCCTCAATTTACCGGCAGGAAAATATTTTATCTATTAAACGTCGAAACCTTTCAAAATCATAAACTCCATATTTACACAGAAATGAATTTGATCCTCGTTTTCATATTTACAGATACAAAAGTAACAAATATATAAATTTTGTTAAAAATTATTGTCATATTTTAATGATTTATAATTAACATTCCGGACATATTTTGGTATAAATATATATATATATATATAAAAATATGTGATTTTAACCAAATAGATTATCAAGTACAATAGAGAGAAATGAACCAATTATACACAACGTCACAAGTGTCAAATATGAGACTCAAAGAAGTTCGTAGTAAGATTTCGATTCTACTGGAGACCACCGGAGGTATTTTATTTTTACTGGAGGGGTTTGAAAAAAGGGATTCAGTTATCCTTCCTAGGGGTTTATAATTCCACTGGAGGGATTCAGATATCCTTCCTGGGGGGTTATAATTCCACTGGAGGGATTCAGATATCTTTTCAGGGGGGTTATAATTCCACTGAAAAGATTCAGATATCTTTCCAGGGGGGTTATAATTCCACTGAAGGGATTCAGATATTCTTCCTAGGGGTTTATAATTCCATGAAGGATATCCGAATCCATCAGTAGAATAAAACAAACCCCCCAGTAAGGATATCTGAATCCCTCCAGTGGATTTATAAACCCTCTGGAAAAACCCTCCATTGGAATTATAAAACCCTAGGAAGGATATTTGAATCCCTCCAGTGGAATTACAAACCCCTAGGTAGGATATCTGAATCCATCCAGTGGAATTATAAGCCCCTAGAAAGGATAACTGAATCCCTCTAGTGGAATTATAAACCCCCTGGAAAGATATCTGAATCCCTCCAGTGGAGTTATATAAGTCGAGAATTAGGAAAAACCAATGACGTAGTACGGTCACTAGTACCTACTGTTCAAGGACGTAGTACCTACTGTACAAGGACGTAGTACCTACTGTACAAGGAAGCAAACTGATTTGACAGATTTATTTTTTCCTTCTCTTGTTTTATCTCAGGCATTATCTAGTAACAAACATGATGCAAACATTATCTAGCAACAAACATGATGCAAAAATTATCTAGTATCAAACATGATGCAAACATTATCTAGTATCAAACATGATGCAAACATTATCTAGTATCAAACATGATGCAAACATTATCTAGTAACAAACATGATGCAAACATTATCTAGCAACAAACATGATGCAAACATTATTTAGTAACAAACATGATGAAACATTATCTAGTAACAAAGATGATGCAAACATTATCTAGTAACAAACATGATGCAAACATTATTTAGCAACAAACATGATGCAAACATTATCTAGTAACAAACATGATGCAAACATTATCTAGCAACAAACATGATGCAAACATTATTAAGTAACAAACATGATGCAAACATTATCTAGTAACAAACATGATGCAAACATTATCTAGTAACAAACATGATGCAAACATTATCTAGCAACAAACATGATGCAAACATTATTTAGTAACAAACATGATGCAAACATTATCTAGTAACAAACATGATGCAAACATTATCTAGTAACAAACATGATGCAATCATTATCTAGTATCAAACATGATGCAAAAATTATCTAGTAACAAACATGATGCAAACATTATCTAGTAACAAACATGATGCAAACATTATCTAGTAACAAGCATGATAATTATTAAGAGGAAAACATTCTGTACAATGTAAACAAAACTATTTGTTTATAAAATACAACATGCAAACTATAATTAGACAGACCTGAATTTCAACCATATTAAAAGAAAATCTAAACTTCTTATTCCTTTATTCAAAATTAATGAATTTTCTTTTAAAAAAGTATTAAATGAGTTGAAATACAACCCTGGCTTGAGGTTTAAATAGAAGAAAACATGCAAGATAAAGAAAAATGAACTAAACCTACTTCAATTAGAGAATCTATAGAGGCAAAATATTTTGTCCACCAATCCATACTCTCCTCATCCTCATCCTAAATATATATATATTATAGTTTATGTTAAACTCATTTTTTTAATGAAAAGGAACAGCTTTTTCCACAAACTCAAATCTTCTATTTTATATGATTTGCAACTTGATGGTGTAAATCTTTTGATAGTTCAAACTTAGATGATTTGATCTGACAGGATTCGTAATATGAAATGTCTAAGTCCGATGAGATTGGGTTGCAAAGATTTAGACATTGGAAAATCAGAGTTTGTGGCAAAGAATTACTTCATTTTTAGATCTTTAATATCTTAAAACAGGAAACAAACCGCCGTTAAATTTATAAAAAACTGAAAATCTTTATGGTAGCCAGTACTGTCGAATTTTTGCCACAAACTCTGATTTTTAATCCCTATTTCTTAGCAACCCAATGTTGTAGACCTTAGATATTTCAAACTATGAATACTGTTAGTATCAAAGGTTTACTCCATTTAGTTGCAATAAGCTTTTTCCTTATAATATGAATATGTTGTATCAACATTTAAACTTAAAATCATTTAACTATATTTTTATTCTATTTCTCTAATATTTAGTTGAATATTGCAGTACTTTAAGATAAATGTCTGAGCTATTATGTAACACACAATATATTCTTATCATTTTTGAACACTGCTTTACAGCTCAACAGAAAACATGGAGAATATTTTACTTAAAGGGAGTGGTCGCAAAAAATAAAAGGGGATACAGGCTTACGGCGAAAAATAATCGCTTATCTTACTTCTATCTGTTGGACGTCTATAAGGAGAAAATTGTTAAAACGACTTCTACTAAAGAACGTATAGATATAGTCCATATAAATTCATAAATTTGCAATATACGACTCGTATCGTAAAAAAATCAATTTAATTTCAAACAAATCATTCAGATATTACATTTATAGTCATTGATTATTTTCGACCCATTCGTATATAGTTAATATTTAATATTGGTTTTGTATACAATGCACTTAAAACGCCGAAAAAGTAGGCCGCCAGATGTCTCAGCTCTCGATGCTTTGAATGATTACACGTGGCAGGAACACCTAGCGGAAAAAGTGTGCATTGTATTTAAAACAAATAACAAATATTATGAAATATATATAGAATTCGTCGAAAAATAATCGATGACTTTAGCTGTTGTGATATCTGAATGATTTGTTTGAAATTAAATTGATTATTTTACGATACAAGTCGTATCTTGCAGCTTTCTGAATTTGTATGGACGCTACGTTCTTCAGTATAAGTCGTTTTTAACAATTTTCTCCTTATAGACGCATAGAGATATAATTAAGATTAGTAGCGATCAAAAGCGATTATTTTTCGCCGTAAGGGATTTCATTTTTCGCGAGCGGCGCTCCCTTTAAAACATAAAATATGCAACTTCTCTCAAACCGTATCAATTTATCATTTCTTTTAAATTCTTCATAGAAATTTTTTTGCTTAAAACAAATAAGGACACGTGGATATTTTTTCACCGCACTCAAGGGACTAAACTTAATTATAAGTGACCCTACACACATTTAAAAAGAGTGACCTATCCGATTTACAACAGTACCCGGTTTAAACTCTCATGAGTAACATCAGAAAGCTCATGTCTTGAAAAGTGTTTAAGTCTCACAATTTCCGTGATTATCTTTTCAGCATAAATACGTAAGTTACTTTTACAGAGAACACCACAAATAAAGCGTAAATTTTCAGAAAGAAAGACTTTCACATTTATCTTTGATCAAAAAAAGGTTAAAAAGGTAGAGTTGTGAATCAGAAATATTATATCTACAATCCCAATTAAATATATCACGCAAATCTGCCCCTTTAGTAAAGTAAATTCAGCCTATATGAAGCATAAAGTCTGACCGCGTCAACATTGTTGCACCGGCTAGTCCTGTCCATAGAGCTAGGTATAGTACAAACTTGGACCGAAAAGGTTGACCCGGCTCGGAAATTCAAATATGCTACGCTTCCCGTGATATTAGATTGAAGAAATAAACTTAACGGAGTATTGGTATTGCTATCAGTTTGGGTATTGTGTGCACGTATTTCAAATAAGGAAAAATCCCATAAATCTTATTAACACTTCTCTTCTAACCTGAATGTCTCCTGAATGGTCGCCTCCGTCCTTTTTAGGAGACAACGGTGTACTCTGTAGGTAGGTCCCCTGAAATATAAATTTGATTATTCGGTGCTTCGCGTCCCCTTTCCTATAAAAAAGTTTAGCTTTTAACGGTTGCTCTAAAAGACGGTCGTTTTAAATCATTTTCAAATGTTGGCGGATTTAAAAAGATATTTTCCCGGAATTTTTTTCTTTAATTTGGATGTTTCATAAACTTTCCCTGGGGTCATGTGAGGTCCCACACAAAATTGGGGTCCGATCGGTTCAGCCGTTTTGACATTTATCGGTTACAAACAAACAAACAGGCAGACAAGCAAATTATATATATAAATATTTCAATATATAGAAATGCTCTTTGATGACGACCTTTAACATTTATAGAGATAAAATGAAAGTTATCAATCTATAAGGATGGTTGGGGCTGGGAGGGTTAAATGGGGGAGGGGGTGAGCTTGTGGTTTAATGGTCCTACGTCTTGTTTTTATTCTTCAACTAGTTGGATATGTTTATGCATATTTTTCAATGTAAGTTATTAAGGGTCGTTACATTTTTCTTCAAATCAATAAATTATAGATTGAGATGGATAATCAAACATTTTTAAGCTAAATTATTTTCTGGAATCCAGATATATGTTAGAGCAATCATTTTTTAAGATTTTCAAAATAATTGAAATTATTTTTAAAAGCTTGTTATCCAAACTAAGTTTTCGGTGCGTACTTTAAGATAGATGGATAAGATAGATTATTTATTTATGATATATAACAAAAACATACAAAACACAGTGTTTCAGGAGAAAATATTTAAAAACCTCTAAAAGTAGGGGTTGTGGGAATATTTAGTAATATGCAGTACACGGACCGAAGAAATAGTTGGTTTTAGCTGAGAATATCTTAGTTAAGAGCTTTATATCTTTAAATTACCAATTTGAGAACTTTTTTATTAAAGGTTTCCTAACGTTAAAAACTCAGGTGTTTTTTCGTGTGTATACATATTTTTGTCCATGATTAGCTGAGCAAAATATGATAAAAATTCTTCCTATACAGTTTTTGATTCATGAATTTATTTCAGCTAATGTAATAGTACATTCATAATTAAACGGTTTTTTATAAAAATATGTATTCCAATAAGGCAAAAAAAGGGTTGTGAAAGCAAATGCAATTTTGTTAATAATTTTTTATTAATCTGTTATCTCTTTTATTATTTTCTAATTATACAAATTTTTGAAATTAAATTTCAAAAATTTGTATAATTAGAAAATAATAAAATAGATAACAGATAACTAATTTTTTTTCAATTTACTTTTATAATTTAAATGAAAATCAATTAGACTGATCAAAAAAAATTAATATTAAAAAAAGAAAATATTTTCAAATTTTCCATATTTTAAATTGTTTTGTTTTTTGGATAAAAGAACATGATTCCTTGCCACAAACATTTCTAATCCCTATATATTTGCAATCCAATGAAACAATGAGCTTTGTTAAATAAAATATTCTAAATTTGAAATATCAAAGATTTACACCATCTGGTTTTAAAGATATTAGAGATTAGAAATTTTGAGTTTGTGGCAAAGACTTAATTCCTCGTGCTTAGTAGTAAACTCTTATTAAAGAGAACTATAATATATATACTGGTTGTATTTAAAAAAAAGCATTTTAAATACTAAACCTTATTATTAAAAGGTGTTTCCATGGCAGTAAGTACAATTTCAATTAATGGGGGTGGGGTCCCCGTTGAAACATTTTAATAGCTTTTTCATCCACTAAATGTCGTATTGCACTAAACTCACTACACTCTCTAAAATGCCAGTTTAAAAATTCAAACTTCTATATATGTCATTTATTTTTAAAAATCCTCAATTCTATCATTGAAAATGCACATTTATTTCATTCTGTTGTTTAAAACGTAAAACTAAATTATTATTTTTGAAAATCTTTGGAAAAGAGACAGAGCACATTTTATATATTTAATCCCTGTTTACTTAGAGAAGGGGCCCCGCTCTTTCAAGAAGAGAAGGCCCCTTCTGAGTATTGAGAGCTCCGACTCCTAGCTCTGCTCTTTCGAGAGCAAAATCCTGAACTCAGGAACTTCACTTCACCACAAATCACCTTCGGACAAAGACCGCTTTTTTATTGTTCACAATTTCACAATTTAAAAAGTAATTATGTATGTCCGCAATGGTATTAATTCTTCGATGCAAAACATTACATCAAATACGACCAATCCTCGAAATAATGATTTCCATGACTTTAACTTTTTTGCCTTCTTCTACATGTTGATAACCCTGTTGGTTTCGAACTTAAGCTCTAGTACTATCCGAGGTTATCGTAGATCCCTCCCGTACCTCAGGATCAACCTCATTCTTCTTCTGAACTGTCTTCTTGTGGAGATCTTCAACACCTTCGTCACGTTTGGGGTAATGATAATAACTAATAATATAATAATATAATAATATAATAATGTAAAAACTAACAATATTTTTCCCAAGCTGCATCTTTTAATGATAAAGAATGTAAAGCTCTCTCTTTGTGGGTATCCCAGTACTTTGTTATTAGCAAGCACTTTTAGGAGAAGGCAAACTCAAAAAACATTTTCTACCAGTCAGATAGCTTTCGATATTTTTTTTTTAAAACTTGATTTTTCTATGAAAAAGAGGCTACTCAACTTTAATGTTAATTTGGTTGCTTTTGTTTTAGTAGAGAAAATTTAAAAATCATTTATAACTACTTAAGAATCATATCATACAACACCTCGATTAGTCTGGGCCTCTCTATATTGTTAGAAAAAATCTATGAACTTGTTACAAATAGCTATTAGGAAAGATACATCTTTCTTTCAGAGTAGTTTTAAGACTGTGTACTTTATTAATCTACTGGTCATGGTCAGCTGAAAAAATTTAATGGATAGACATGTCAAGAAAAAAATGTCCACACACAAATTTAAACATCCCTGAGCCAAATGAATATGTAAAATTGTACAGTATACATTATACCCAAGTACAATGCTGAGGTTAATTTTATACAAAGATCCAGTTTTTCAATAATAGATTATCATGTCATATAACAAAGACTACATTTAATCTAATAGTCGTCTCTGTATTTTACTTTTTATTGGAGAGCCCCTGAGTTTCAATAGGGACCCCAAAAATTCATTGGAGACCCCAAGATTTTCCTTGGAGACAACCCAGAATTTTATTGGAGACCCCAAGATTTTCATATGGGGGTCTCCAACAAAAATGTTGTGGTCTCCAATGTATTTGGATCTCAAAGGAAAATCTGGGGATTTCTAACAAGAATCAGCAAGACATCCATTAAGGTCTCCAATGAGAAGGGGTCTCCATGATAGTTCTCCAATAGTGAAGATTTTTTCCAAAATCTTATGGAAATAATAAATAATTAATTTTTTTGTCAAATCATTAGTGTTTCACTTAAAGTTCATTTCGTAATAACAATAAAATTGAGGAAATGATGTTGTATTAAAAAACAGCCCTAACTGCAGTTTAAGTTATTTGCCGCCAAGCCAATACGGTAAAACTCCGGCTTCAAATTTAGAGCTGGTATGTAAACATTCCGTAATATTTACAGCACTTAGACCTGACCAGCCAAACTCTAGCGTACTTGTCATGATAATAAAAAGCCATATTTTTAGTGTTGTACTACCATGTGGAGTGCAATCAGCCTGCTACCTCTGTGGGCTGCCCATCTTGTGGAAATAGGGGATTTTTTGTTGATAAATCTCTCATTGTGTCTAGCTGCAGCAATCTCCTGTGCCAGACTTCTGATGATTATAAAGGTGTAAATTCAAAATTTTTTAAAAATTCTTGCCAAAATCTATATTATTGAAGCAGTTGAACAATTATTTTTCAAAAAGATACAATATATTTTAGTCTTAAATTAAAAGCAAAATTCCAGGTCTTTAATCATTATAGCTACTTCAAATTGTCAAGGATGAATTTTTCTTTTGTTTGTAGTTTGAAAAAATGATTGAGTATGAACCAGAAGAGGTCTCTCGAAAACTGCTCTGTGTTCTAAGTCTCATTGTGGCTCTTGCAACAAGTTATCCGTCCTACTCTGCAATAACAACTGGTACAACGATTGGTACAACACAACTGTCACTCAGTGTTATGGATTAAAGAATGTTTGAATTTCTAAAGGAGGGGGGGGGGGGTTTCTGAAACAAAGAACTGATATTTCATACAAAATAAAATTCAAAGCGCCTTGAAACCCTTCAAATTTCTTTATTTTAAATGATTTACAGGACACGTGGCACCCCATGTTTCCTTCTACACTGGACTAGAAGCTTCTAGAACAATCAACCCACATCTCATTGTCACATGTCTTATCGGTTTTATTTGCATCATTTCAGCTTCAGGACAGTTCTTCTACGGAAAGTACTACCTCAACAAGTTCCACAAAACAAGGGAAACAATTGAACAAAACAATTTGTCAATCTAAAACTTTAATCTGAATTTAAACATTTCCATATTTACATCCAAAATAAGCAAAAGAAATAGGATGAACGTTTAAAAAAAAAAAGTAGGAATACGCCTTAAAGACTGGGTGTTGTTCCTGGGGAACAATTGTTCTTTTAAGGGAACGAAGGAAATGGGACAAAGGGAACAGAATAAAATGTAATGAACTTATTAAAAAAGACAGCCCTAGATATGTAGACCTCACTTCTTTTGTTTTCTATACAGTCAGAGATCTGAGAATGAAGACTCCTCTAAAAACATTGTAAATCTGAAATCCGTTTTTCTTACGGTCGTCATCACAAGTATAGTTGGAGTAACAGCTATACTTATTCGAAATTTTGAACAGCGTCGCATTCCCTTCAATATAATCATCACTGTCACCATGTTTGCTCTCTATCTGGTAAAATTTGCACAAGCTCGGCCAATTCAAGAATTCTTTTGGCACAAACTGGCACAGAACAGTTTAAACTTCAAGGAAACCTTTCTTGTCATAAAATCCAGACTCTTGAATATCAGGAAGAATAAAGTTGGAATACAATAAAACATTAAGCAAAGCAAATGGATTCATCCCGTTATGAAATGCTCCATCAATTTTCAAGTGTTGCAAAGTGTTAGGCTTTGATTTTACAGCTCTAACTCACTTGTGCTTATCTGTAATCATAAACATGCACAATGCATATTGCACATTAAAAACTTGTTTTTATCTTTAGCATTTAAGAAGTTATTGACAAAATTCTAATCGAGTTTTGAGTTAGAGCTTGCAACCTTTAAATCACAGTGAATGAAAACTAACAAGAACCCCACAGATATAGAAATGATGGGACCAAGCTAGAGAATATCTTCTATGTAATAAACAGCCAATCATATATGGTTATAACATTTGTTTTGTAATTTTGTATTGTATGATTTGTATTTGTTCTAATTACTTATGTGATTAAAATGTTCAAAAATATTTGCTATTTATTTCTTTTTAGTATCGTTTATCAACTAATTTCATGTTTAAACAGTTTTAGATGGAAAAGGTTATAACTTACAAGAGCCTAAATATATATTTTTTCAAATTAAAATTTTTAATGCTGAATAAATTTTATATTTTTTACCACTGTTGGACGCATAAGTGTCACCAGGGAGAGGAGAGGGGTGGTGCATATTTCAAGAACAGAGATTAGAATAGAAGGGAGATAAGTATATCCCTCGGTATGAATTTGTTCAGTCCCTTTGAGGAGTTCAAAGTGTACAATTCATCGGAATGTTAACAAATTATATGCAGTACATTACAATAATGTACAGTATATGACCCGCGGCCATATCTGTTACATTTTCTTCTTTTTATAAAGTTTAGGCTGAAATGAACTCGGTAATGTATGAGTATGATAGGTTGTCAGAGAATTATATTAGAGAAAATTAAATAATTTTTAAGAACATTTTTTTCAATAAAAGATGTTTCAGGGCCCAAGAGATTATAAAGCACAAATGTGTGTGTGAAAACAGTACAACAAAATGGCGGTTTTACACATTTTTCGAATTAATTCCACTCTGTACGATGGAATTGGCCAGAAAGAAGTAATCTCTTTCACCTAATTTTTTAATCACCGTAAAATCTTGCTTCTGAGATTTTAATTTAATGCATTTTTAACACAGTATTTGACATTTATCAGGGTTTCATGGCATGTATATTGGCTTATACTAAATTTTCAATTTGTTTTCAGATTGGCTTGATCAACAAAATTGAAGAACAAGGCATAGTTTATTTGAGCCGAATCTTAGATCCAATCTGCCAATTTAATGACTAAATTTTATGATTAGAGTGTAGATACTATATAGGCGGACTGCCTGCTTACTGAAAATTACCTCACCCTGGCCAAAGTAATATCTATCTCCATTTAAAAGATATTTTCAGAAAACCTTTACAGTGTTTAGATTTTTTGTATTTGCCAACTCGAGTTCGACATCTACAACAAAACTAATAAGATGCCTAGAAAGAAGTAATATATAAGTAATTAAAGTTTCATCTCAATTAAAGATACCTAAGTGTTATGATTTTAATGGGGAAAATGGTAATTCTCTGGGGGCAGGGGAAGTCAGGGGGCATTGCTACCCAGTATGCTTGCAATATGAGCCGTACATTTCAAACTAACATAATTTAAGTTATTATTACGTTCATTAATGATGTGATATATAAGGAGTTTAATAAATAACTTTAAGAGGAAAATGCCGCAAACATCTTTAAAATTCAAAAATGTAATTTTATTTCTAGCGCTTTATGTGGCATATTTATAGATTTATTTTCGAAACTGAGGAGCAATAAAGAAAACCTTAAGAATATTGTACACCATAGGACCATGAACAGAGATTAATATGGTCTTTTTTCTAAGAAATAAAAGATTTAATGCTATCGTTTTTATTTCTGATTACAAATTTTGGTATTGGAGATTACAAGTTGAGGAGCGCGCATTCCAAAAAAAACACATTTGGGTGGCTGTGATTACCAATTGAGGACTTCTGCACTCCCCCCCTCGAACAATTAAAAGGAAAGAAACTTTAATTAATGCTATGCTAGATTAATATTTGATAACTGGAAAATATGAAAAAATGTAATATAAATAACAAAAAAGCTTTGTTTTCTGAATAATTAAAAAAATCCATGATTTTTCAATTAAAGTATTGAAAATTAAGGTGTAGTAAAAATCGAATAGACAGTCAAGAATGTTTGAAAATATTGACATGATACAAATACCAAATAAATATCTAAAAAAGCTTACATAGTTGAGAATTCCTAAAAATACTTACATAGTCGAGAATATCTAAAATACTTACATAGTCGAGAATATCTAAAATACTTACATAGTCGAGAATATCTAAAAATACTTACATAGTCGAGAATAGTGTGATTTTCCCTTGGATTGACGGATTCCATGGGAGACAGAAGCTCGTTGTTAAAATTAGATTGTCCGTTTTGTTGACCATTTAGCAGGTTAAAATCTACAAAATATATTTTAGGATTTTTATTTTGGAATGGTTTGTATACACTGATAGATACAGGGTTACCCACAAAGAGTGAGACTTCAATTTGAATGATTTGACTGGAATAGTGAACCAATAAATTCTGTGAAGGATCGTCTCTGAATTCTCATTGATTGACGGTAAACCCGTACTTTACCCCTGTACCGTATACAGGTTAACTCTGTCCAGTGTATGGTTTAACTCTGTCCAGTGTACGGTTTACCTCTGCACTGTGTACGGTTTACCTCTGTATAGTGTACGGTTTACCTCTGTAAAGTGTACAGTTCACCTTTATACAGACAGTGTACGGTTTACCTCTATACTGTGTACGGTTTTCCTAATTACTTTGTGCTGTTTACCTCTGTCCAGTGTACGGTTTACCTCTATACTGTGTACGTTTTACCTCTGTACTGTGTACGGTTTACCTCTGTACTGTGTACGGTTTACCTCTGTACTGTGTACGGTTTACCTCTGTACTGTGTACGGATGGAAAGCTGGGATTTGTCTATGCTTGGTCTCTTTGGTGTTGGTGTGAACAGGAATTTATGAATACTGGGAATAAAAAAATAAAATATAGAAATTAGATTTTTTCATTGATGAAAAATATCTTGATTTAAAAATGAAATTAAATAGATGTAGATTGCCGGTGAAATTATAACGCTGTATTCATGAAGAGGAGGAGGAAGCAAGTTAATTCTTGGAACCGTTCACTTATTTGGGTAATTTTGGTCGGGGTAAACAAAATAGCTTATTAGCTATTGATTAGTATTGGTCTTATTTTTTAAAGACAACTACAGTGGCTGGAGAAAAGCCGATTTTGCATCCAGAATTCGTGCGCAAAGGAACGGTCCCTAATTGATATATACACTATTTAATATTTTTTGTCTATGTCACGGATAAAAAAATGTCAAATATAAGATTAAACTGTAGTATCTAATAGCTAATTGTAAATTTCATCATTTTTGAATTTCTTTTTTTTACTTTCTTTTTATAACATAACACTTTTTTAGTGCATTAGAATTTGGTTTTGCTTCTCTGTAAAAAGCTGAAATTCAGCTGCTGAATAGAACGCGGCATGAAAAATGAAAGGTTGCGCGCATACGGGAACGGGATTAAAAATTGTAATTGGGTAGTTAGTAAATTAGACAACTGATGTGGTTCGGACTAGAGATTGATGTGGTTGGCCTTCCTCCCCTCCTCAGACAGTTTTAAAAACTATTTCGGATTACTCACAAATGCAGCATTGCAAGCAAGATGTATATTTTATTTACATCGAACGCAGAGTTGAATCTACAAACCGAAATCGATTGTTGTAGAGAACGTCGTCCTTGTATGTACATTTTACACGTTTTATTGAATCTACAAACCAAATCGATTGTTGTAGAGAACGTCGTCTATGTATATACATTTTACACGTTTTAATACAAAAAACGTAAATTTATTGCTAACTCAAATATCAAAAGTTTTCACATTTTAGTCCGTAATAGCTAATGCATAATGGCTTTGAAATATGATAAATTAAAATTTTTTTGACTGTTTTTGCTGAAAAACGCCTAGTATAGTGTTTCAGACATTTCAGAATTCTGAACGAAAAATCGGCTTTTTTTCCGGCCACAGTTGTCTTTGAAAAGTAAGGCTAATATCCATTAACATCTAATAGGTTGTTTAGTTTACCATGAAATTAACCTAATAAGTGAACGGTCCCTTTAACTACTTTTCAAAAATATTTTGATTTAAACCAATTTTCATATCTGATTCTTTCAATTAAAAAAATATGCACTAAAATAAGATTTTTTAAGAAACGGGGGGGGATGGTGGTTCCACCCCTTAAAAACAATTTATTGTATCCTCCCTGTTACTGGTGTGAGTACCGACTAATGTAAATCTTCCAAAAGACCTGAAATATTTGATATTAGTTGAGATTAGTAGAGATTAGTAGAGATTAGAAGAGATTAATAAAGATTAGTAGAGATTAGTAGAGATTAGTAGAGATTAGTAGAGATTAGTAGAGATTAATAGAGATTAGTAGAGATTAATAGAGATTAGTAGAGATTAGTAGAGATCAGAAGAGATTAATAGAGATTAGTAGAGATTAATAAAGATTAATGAAAATCGTATACTTGTAATCTACTTCTAATCACCATGGAGCGTACATACTGTAAAGTTCATTTCTTGTACAGTATTTATTTTCAATGCGCTGTACAGTGTAGAGCTTTTCTACCTGCAGTCTACCACCCTAATATATTTCTTCCTGCAGTCTACCACTCTAATATATTTATCTACCTGCAGTCTACCACTCTAATATATTTATCTACCTGCAGTCTACCACTCTAATATATTTATCTACCTGCAGTCTACCACTCTAATATATTGCCTACCACTCTAATATATTTATCTACCTGCAGTCTACCACTCTAATATGTTTATCTACCTGCAGTCTACCACTCTAATATATTAATCTAACTGCAGCCTACCACTCTAATATATTTATCTACCTGCAGTCTACCACTCTAATATGTTTATCTACCTGCAGTCCACCACCATGTTTATCTACCTGCAGTCTACTACTCTAATATATTTATCTACCTGCAGTCTACCACTCTAATATGTTTATCTACCTGCAATCTACCACTCTAATATGTTTATCTACTTGCAGAATACCACTCTAATATGTTTATCCACCTGCAGTCTACCACTCTAATATGTTTATCTACCTGCAGTCTTCCGTCCTAATATCTTTATCTACCTGCAGTCTACCACCGTTTTTATCTAAGTGCAGTCTACCACTCTAATATATTTATCTACCTGCAGTCTTCCACTCTAATATATTCATCTACCTGCAGTCTACCACCCTAATATGTTTATCTACCTGCAGTCTACCACTCTAATATGTTTATCTACCTGCAGTCTACCACTCCAAAATGTTTATCTACCTGCAGTCTACCACCATGTTTATCTACCTGCAGTCTACCACTCTAATATGTGTATCTACCTGCGGTCTACCACCCTAATGTGTTTATCTACCTGCAGTCTACCACTCTAATATGATTATCTACCTGCAGTGTACCACTCTAATATGTTTATCTACCTGCAGTCTACCACCCTAATATGTGTATCTACCTACAGTCTACCACTCTAATAGTAAGGGGTGGACAGTATAGTTCTTGTTCTGGAAGCTCTATATCAATATGTTTCACCATCATTGAAAAATTTGGATTTTTCTTCGCGTTCAGAATCAGAGAGCTCTAAACAAATATTTTAAGCTTTATTAATGATTTTTTCCAACATTTTAAATATTTGATTATTTTTTATTTTAACTACGATCAATTTATAGGAATCATACTTTTAAAATTTTTTTTTCAAAATTGAAAAAAACAAACAATTGTTTAAAACTGTTTGCATAAATTTAAAAATAAAAACTTTCAATACTAATTCTAATATTCTTCCAATTGTTGAAATTTAGTCACTAAATTTTCAAAAATACAAACAGTAGATGATGCCAGAGCATCAATGCTTACACATTTATTATTTTGGAACTTAGAACCATAAATAATGTTTTTGGGACGAACAGAAACCTCATTTATCAGGTTTGAACTTTTGGGAAATTATTGGATGGCCAATTCAGAACTGATTCATTCTACTTAAAATTTTCGATCCGAGGCAAAACGGCGCAAACGAATTTCTTTTATCTTGTTCGTACTTCGTAGCAAATTGTAATAACAAAAATATGCAACCTAGTTGTGTAAACTTGTTATAAATTGAACTTTACAACATTGGGTTGAAAATTGAAAAGATATGAGGATATGAAGATCAGAGTTTGTGGCAAAGAATCAATTTTTCTGTTTTTTTTATAGAAAAAGATACTAACAAAAATTGGTCCAGATTTAAGGCTCAGGCATTAACTAAAGATTTTTCACAACTCTGTGTAAATTTTTTATTTTTTATACCTGAATAACATGTCCTCCGCACTCTACATCTACCCTGGGCTTATCAACAGCAAGGAACTGAACCCTTTTCAGGTCTCGTAATCCCCAGAATAACACTTCAAATCTAGAATAATCCACAGAATAACGCTTCAAATCTAGAATAATCCACAGAATAACGCTTCAAATTTATAATAATCTCCAGAATAATACTTCAAATCTAGAATAGTCCTCAGAATAACACTTCAAATCTAGAATAATCCACAGAATAATACTTCAAATCTAGAATTATTCACAGAATAACGCTTCAAATCTATAATAATCCCCAAAATAACACTTAAAATCTAGAATAATCCCCAGAATAACACTTCAAATCTAGAATAATCCCCAGAATAATACTTCAAATCTAGAATAATCCCCAGAACTTTTTTATCAGAAATTTTTAAACCTTTATTTTAATGTATTTCAATTGAAAAAATACCATTAAAACTAGAACTCTTTCTGTAAAGATTTAATGGTATGTATACCGTACACTGCACCTAATTGTACAGTTATACCTGTATTTGACTAGTGTGGGTCGTATCTCTGGTGGTACAGGTAGGATTGGTCCCATATCCTGACCGGTCTGGGTAGCTTGACCCGGCCCGTCTTTAGGCTGAGGTAGACTGGGAAGCATATTTGTTGCATCACTAATTTCAAATAACTCGAAGGCAGCAAGTAGTTCACCTAGGCAAATTGGAAAATAAAAAATCTTTTTTAAAATTAATATATGCTCCTGAAAACCAATTAAATTGAAAGGACTTTAAAGGGAGTGACCGGCTGTGTAAGGTAGTTGAACTAAGTATGCAGTGTTGTGGAAAACTTCTTTCGGATTCATTTAAGGCATATTAAACTTTTTAAAGATCTGTAAATCCTGAGTTTGAATACAATAAACGTCAAAACAGCCGAACCAATCAAGCTTAAAAATGTTTGGCAACTCAAGTGACCTCAGGGGAGGTTTATGGATGTTAAGATGATTTTTTAAGATTTAGAAAATCCACGAAATTTTTTTTTTAATTCGCAAATAGAGCCACAATTAAAAATTGAAATAGCAGAAGGATGCTAAACGTCCTAAAAGCCTGGTTTCTGTAAAGTCCTAATACATAATAAGAATCCACAAATAAAACAGGTAAATATTCAAAATTTCTGATTATGTTTGTTTTAAATAGATTTATCATCAAATAATTTTATTTCTGTAGAGGGGCGGAGAAGGGGGGGGGGGGGGGGGCTAGGCCTCCTTGAAACCTGGTTAATATTAAACTTTTTCCATCATAAACTCATCCTTTTAGGTAATTGTAAGATCTAAAGGAAAACTTAAATGTTTAAATCTCTGCGAAGTTTGTGAAGTTGAAACACCGGGTTTAATCCTTCTCTTCTAGAGTTTCCATTAATTTTCTTTCTTTTCTTTTCTTAGTTTTTCTGTCATTTTTGATACTTTAAAGAGACTGTGAACAAATTGCATGTGATCCTCCATTGAAAAAGTTGGTTGTCTGCTTCAGTGCAGTACCCTTTGAACCTTTGTATACTTCAGTTTTCTAACTAAAAATGGCGTGAAAATTATAATTACAATTGAATATTCCGAAGATTTAAAATCCAAAGATTTTTTCCCATGAACTTTCTTTCTTTTCTTTTCTTAGTTTATCTGTCATTTTGATACTTTAAAGGGACTGTGAACAAATTTCATGTAGGGTACAATGAGTACTCACGCACGCAGCTGACTTCAATATTTTCTTGAATATCCCTTGCGAAGATTCAAAATCCAACGATTTTTTATAAAACTATAGTGTAATTTATCATTATTACTCACTTCATAGTGAATTTCATATTGAACAGGCTATAAAGTAATCATCGTGCTATAATGTTAAATTAGCTGTACATAATAGCACGTGTGCTATGAAGTTTTAATTGGTTCCCAGATTTTCTCCAAAAAATTTAGAATAACAAACGTTTCACCAAAGTACCTATTACACTATTATTTTGGCATGACGTGCTATAAAGTTTTTAGACTTAAATTTTCTCTATATCTCGAAGGTTCTCACCTTTTGTTAGATTTAAATCTAAAAAGGCTTGAACCTTCTCGATAAAGAGAAAATTTCTGTCCAAAACTTTTTAACACTGCGAACCAAAAATCAGTGTTATAAATAGTTATGATAAGATTATTTATTCTTTTCGACTGAAGTCTCTGATAATAAAAAAAGGATCAAATTGTCATCTTTTATCAGTTAAGGGTTAAAGGTACCGTTGTGAACAGGACATGCCACACTTGTGTGTTTATGTTTACCTGCTTCCTCAGTTCCTCTCAGTATCTGACACCATTCTAGGTTCGGGGGACGATATTCTACCTAAATTCAGGAATTCAATAATCTAATTTGATAGACAGATTGATTCATTTCAATAATTGATTGGTAGGTTTGATTACTGGATTAATTACTTTGAAAAATTGATTAATAAGTTGGAAAATTAATTATTTAGTTGGAAAAATTAATTAATTAGTTGGAAAAATTGATTAATTAGTTGGAAAAATTAATTTATTAGGTGGAAAAATTAATTAATTAGTTGGAAAACTTAAATAATTTGTTGGAAAAATTGATTAATTAGATTGGAAAATTTATTAATAAGTTTAGATAATTGATTGACAAAATTAAATAATTTATCTGATGAAAATTTATTGATTGATTTGATTTATGTATTTTTTAAAGCATAAATTGATTGTAGACTGTAACAGGCTTTCTGAATTTGGCTATTCAATTGACTGAATTGAATTATACTGTGTCTTTGTTTGTGTATGCGTATGTTTTGAAAAAACATCATCCTATTTTTATAAAAAAAAGTGTGGATTTATTATTTTTTTCGTATTTATTTATTTACACACAAAGCTATAACACTGTCAGTGTCTAGCTAACTACATTTAAAAATTTAAATTTTTTTTTGTCTAAAATCGAGGAAAAATATGAAACACAACGCCTGCATTATGCGAAAGTAACCTAAAAATAAAACATAGAAAATAGTTTTGAAATTTGTCAATTCGATGTCAATAAACTGTCATCAGCCCACTAGATTATTTATCAAATCTCTTTTATTTTCTCTGTGTTTCCTTTAACGAAAGTTTACAATAAATTTATTTTTTCTACTAATCGAATACATTTTTTTCTACTAATCGAATACATTTTTTCCCCCGAAATTTGCAAATTACTGGAAAAAGTCGTGATATATTTCATTATATAGCAACTACCACGCATCCCTGACCCTTTAGTAAAAGTAAATTTAGCCTAAAGTCTGACCGCGTCAACCTTGTTGCGCTGGATAGTCCTAAGTGTCTGCTTTATTTACCCAATGTCCGGGCGATACAGTACAAACTGGGACTGGAAAAGTTGACCCAGCTCGGAAATTCAAATGTACTACGGCTGCCTGTGCTACATGTCGAATAGCCCTACTATAGTACTGTTTTTTGAATATTTTTTAGGCCCTCCTTCCATTTAATGTCTGTTTGCCATCTGATGCTAGATTAACAAGGGAAATAAAAGAGAAAAAGTATTCTTTAATAAAAAGTCTAGGTAGAATTCCCCAGATGCAAGTGTATTTATATAATTATACATATATTATTCTTATCCAAATAATGGTTGCTAAGTATTCATTCTTTATATATTTAGAACCCCTCGACTCTCGAAAAATGAAAAGAAAAAATACCGTTAAAAAGAACTAAAACTAAAAAAGAGTTAATTGAAAAGTGTTATTTTGTTTTATCCTTGTAACGTCCCAATATGAGAAAGATTCTTCATTTTAACATAAAAATATATATTCCTTTTTTTGTTATTGAATCTTGAATTTTGATAGCATGAAATCTAATAAATTATCAATACCTATATGATTCTATCATTATTGGAAAGAAGTTTAGTCAGTTGAAAAATATTTATTACCTCTTCTGCTAGATGAATATGAGGCTTTGCTATAGATCTGCCCAAGAACTCAGCTTTTCCGACCTGAAAGAAGATTGTTCAAGATTGTATCTCTTTTTCAGTCCTTTTAATTCTCTTTTAATCTTTGCAAGGATTGCAAGGATTTTAAGAGAAACGAGGACAAAAAAATTGAGTCTTTGTCACAAACTCTGATTTTCTTATCCCTATATCTCTAGACCTTAGATATTCTAAATTATAAATTCTGTTATATCAACTAATCTAAGTTTGAAATATCAAAGATTTATAATCAGCAGGAATTAGAAAAATTTATGTTTGTGGCAAAGACTGAATTCCTTTGAAATATGGTTTTGATTTAGCTGCCATTTCAAATTCTTCATAAATTTCAACAAATTCTCCCCCCCCCAAAAAAAAAAGAAATATGAAAAGTTGAAAAGAATATTTGTACCTCCCCCCCCCCCCCCCCCCACACACAATAAATATTACTTTTATATTTGTAAAAAAAAAGTTTACTTTATCCTGATCATAAATCTCAATTATGACTTGAGGCGGGTTTTGTTTAATATCCTCTCTGCGTCCGTACACCAGTATCTCAGGGAACAGGAGGAGTTCGTCCCAGGTCGGGGATAACGTCTCATCGATCACCTAAACCATAGTGAATATGGTTTGTGCATATTTCACGTTGATGACACATTAAACAACTGGGTTCTGATAAATAGACAGCAGTTAGAAATCAAAAACCTTAGTTATGTTTTGTTAAAACGTTTTTCGTGAAGGAAATTGTGTACAGAAACCATATTCTTGGAAATTTAAGAGAGTATATATCGTTAATTTCCTTTTTTAAGGGTTTATTCATTTATGTAGATTTTAATGTAAGAATTAGAAAATGATATCTACAAAATTGACCCATTCAAGAAACCTGTGTTCCGAACCAGGTTTAATGACGATACCCCGTCTTAAATTTAGAGCTCTGATGTATTACAAAATTTAAAAAATTGATAACTTATTTTTGAAAATAAGAAATTATAATTATTTTGAAGTTTTACTAAGACGACATTTTAGGTCAGCAATATCTTAACATTAATATTTTTCAAAGCAAGATCAAAATTACTAAAGACCATTAAAAAACATTCTGCTTAGATTTCACTTTATGTTAAGGGGTTGCTTACAAGAATATTTCAATAATAATTGAGATTTCATAATTTATTAAAGGAATAGAGCCTTCGCCAAAAACTCAAATTTTCTAATCCCTATATCTTTGTAACCTGATATTTCATACTTAGATTAGTTGAATTCATAGTTTGAAATACCTAAGGTCTACGACATTGGGTTGCAAATATATTGGGATTAAAACATTTTAGTTTGTGGCAAAGACTTAATTCCTTTGATCTGCAGTGTTCTCCAATGATAATTCTCGCAAAAGGATCTGATAGTGTACCTGGGTTGATCTATAGTGTTCTCCAATGATAATTCTCGCAAGAGGATCGGATAGTTTACCTGGGTTGATATACAGTGTTCTCCGATAATAATTCTCGCAAAAGGATCGGATAGTTTACCTGGGTTGATCTACAGTGTTCTCCAATGATAGTTATCGCAAGAGGATCGGATAGTTTACCTGGGTTGATCTACAGTGTTCTCCAATGATAGTTATCGCAAAAGGATCGGATAGTTTACCTGGGTTGATCTACAGTGTTTTCCGATAATAATTCTCGCAAAAGGATCGGATAGTTTACCTGGGTTGATCTACAGTGGTCTCCGATAATAATTCTCGCAAAAGGATCTGATAGTTTACCTGGGTTGATCTACAGTGTTCTCCGATAATAATTCTCGCAAAAGGATCTGATAATCCAGAATTATCGGATCCAATCAAAGATCGTGCTTGGTAAACATTAGCTCGCATTTGGAAATACTACAATAAAATAAAGGTAAGTTATCATTATCGTTATTATTGTATTATGTTATTATTACAGTAATGTGATTACTGTGTCAATATCAAGTTTAGTTTTTGGCTTTAGTAAAACATAAATTTTTCTTAATTATAACAGAAAATAGAGAAATTCGATTGAATTGGGATTAAAAAGCAAAAAAATGTTAAAAATTTAACATTTTTTTGTAATTTGATAAATTTGGTGAGTCAGTTAGTTGAGTACATAGTTTTGTATGATTAGTTTAAAGATTGAAAGTAGTGGGTTTTGGAATGTTTATAAACTTACATGCTTTTCACTGTACTGTATATACAGAGGAGGGAGTAGAGCTGGTTTTTCTGCATTTAGTATCTCATTGGTCAGATGGAACCCAGGGGGTAATCCACTGAATAAAGATTAAAATAATTAGCAAATATTGTTATATAAAAAATAGCTGGCAGACTTTCCTCTTAGTTTAGATTGTTGTGATATGTGAATGTTGTGACATAAAAGAGCCAATTACTCCCATTACAGTTCAATTACACTTAAACTTACCATTTACACATCTTAATCTACTTAACTGCCCTGGGCTTACCAAGCTAAGCATGCGAAAAAGGTCTTAAATAGTTATAATTGACTATTTTTACAAGAGCTAGCTGATAACTTTATTTCAGAACCAAGTTTTCTGTAAAATATACGTACAAAGCTACTTTAAATATTTCACTAATTTATTTATATTACAAATGTAAACATTTTAAAAAGCTTAAGAAAGATATTTTGGTGATATTTTTCAGTCTCCCCCCCCNCCCTCTGGATATCTTTAAACATTTTTACCATTCTAAGCAAAGAGACCTAAACGATAGAGTCTATTTCAGAAACCTAAATTGTTTAACATTAAAATTTATCTAAAAAACGTTTTCTTCAAGGAAGTATATCTTTGTAATGATCAAGTTACCCTCCGCTTATACATCGGTATGCTTTAAACCCTTACCATCCATGTGGAAGATAGTGTCGGTTGTCTAGCTTAAACCTTTATCTTACCATTCATGTGGAAGATAGTGTTGTTTGTCTAGCTTAAACCCTTACCATTCATGTGGAAGATAGTGTCGGTTGTCTAGCTTAAACCCTTATCTTACCATTCATGTGGAAGATAGTGTCGGTTGTCTAGCTTAAACCCTTATCTTACCATTCATGTGGAAGATAGTGTCGGTTGTCTAGCTTAAACCCTTATCTTACCATTCATGTGGAAGATAGTGTCGGTTGTCTAGCTAAAACAGTGTTTTGTTCTGACAAGACCCTTAATTGTGTTTGTAGCAGAAATATGCAAGTAATGGCTATTTGGAAACGACAGTTTAAAAAATCTATATTCACAGTTAAAAAACATGGATATTTCAGTCATTCTTGTTGTGAAACTTATTCCAATAACTATTACATGTTGGCTGGTATATGGGTTACCCAATACCAACACAGGATAACATCACTTTAATGGCGACCTGAAACTCCTAAATGTGACGATCATAAGCTTTTAAAGCTGACGATCATAAGTAGGGATGTTAACGTTTTCATTTTTTTGAAAAACGATCTTTTTTTTCGTTTTCCTATCGTTTTTTGTTTCGTTTTTCGATCGTTTTAAAAACTATCGTTTTTTTATAAGTTTTTATAACGATTGTTTTTTAAATTATCGGAAAACGAAACAAAAAACGATAGGAAAACGAAAAAAACGATCGTTTAACGATATTTTCAAAAACGATTAACAACCCTAATCATAAGCTCTTAAATCTGACGATCATAAACTCTTAAATCTAACGATCATAAGGATAAATTTTGTCTCTTAGTTCATCCGAAATCTAGGGTATATTAGAGCTAACAAAATTACAGCTGCAACCCTTGAATCTAGTATGAATACGGTTCTACCAAATTGGACTGGGAATGACCTTAAATCCCTGTACTCTATTATTTCTGCTCCATGATTGACTATTTCCCCTCATATTATTCAAAATACGATTCAAAAAAGCAGATTCATCTACAGTCATAACCAGAAAACTCCGAAATAGGAAGACGACTTTATAGCAATACGTAAGTGTATTTGATGTTGTTAAAAATCAAAAAAAAATTATTAGACACTTATTCAATCACAAATCAAGTGAAAAGGGTCTGTTTACACTGAATAATTTCTGTTTCCTGTTCTCATTGGACTATCTAAAGTCATAATTTAAGTTTAAAAGTCGTCTTCCTATTCCAGAGTTTTCTGGTTATCAATGTATCTAGCTTGCAGTGGCAGGGATCGAATCATAACTCTGAGAATTTTTTCCCTGAAAGGCTTATAATCATAATTCTAAAGGCTTATAATTTGTAGCTTACCCTGTATGTAATAAAAAGATCAATATAGAACAAACTGACCAACTGACCAAACTGACCAACTGAAATCCAATCAAATGTCGGAAAAGTTTTGTCCCGTCAATTCTTCAAACAAAGGGAAAGAGTTGAAAATAAGCGTAGATTATTCTAGATGTCATGGGCATACTTTTTATCTTTTATACAATTTTTCAGATGTTTCTATGTTATTCTGGACATTGTTCTGAAAAGAACGTTTTTAACGTTTTTCCCGAGAATTTTAAGGAATGTTTTTTCCTGAAATAATTCTGTAATGTCCCGGAATTCCGGTACAGGCCATATTGCGGAAATTTCTGGTTTACAGGGAAAAAATTTAAGTTCAGGACCCTGTTTGATAAAGGAAATTAAAACAAATTTCAGAAAATAATACCGTATGTAAACCTTAAACCGGAATTCCAGTGAAACTCTTCTAATTGTTCTGTATTAAAGGGACTGTAAAGGAAAAATGAAAGGGGGTATAGCCTAAAACCTGAGAATCTCGGGAGCTGATTGAGACATATAAGACATCTATCTGATGTTCCTGTCTCGAGAAATTGATATAAAACTGTGTCAAAATTATACCAAAACGTATATATATGTAAGATTTTGTATAAGATTTGTAGTATTAAACAGATGATATTCAACAAATACGCAATTAATCTGAAAACAACGATATCCCAGAGGAGCCTGAGAAACTCAAGTTTGCTCCTATTATTATTTGAATTTAATAATTTTTCATTTTTAATAGATATAATTGATAATATTATTTATGCGTCCGGAACATGTCACCAGAACTCCAACGAATGGCAGTGCAGTATTATTGTCACATGTCTACGTCTTGTATCACATGACCAGTACACTGTACTGCCATTGGAGGGAGTTCTGGTCACGTGGTCCGTATATCTTACATATATACAATTTAGTATAATTTTGGCACAGTTTTATGTCGATTTCTCGAGACAGGAACATAAGATAGATGTCTTATCGTTCAACAACTCCTGAGATTCTCAGGTTTCAGCCTATAACCCCTTTAATTTTTCCTTTAAGCACAATTTGACCCATTAACATAATTGAGAAGTCTTGAGTTTGATACCTTGGGTAGCATTTCTTATGCTTGAGTAAACCAAGCCAGAGATAGATTTGAATCTTGGCCTGGATAACCCATCCTCCTGACCCGGATCCTCTGCGTCCAGCTAACTGAAATAGATAATATTTCTTTCCTTTAAACCATCTCAACTATTATATGCCAAGATAATAGTTTCAAATATACAGGGCACTATATATATATATGGTTTTTAATGCTGGGTTGAGCAGGTTTTGTTTTAGTTTGAATGCAGTGACGGTAAAGCAAAATGAAAATCTAAAACTATTTGGATCTTTTTATTAAAATTCTAATATTTTTCGTCATGCTTATGCCTTCAAAAAATGAAATCTTATCAGTTAACAAATCTCGTTTGCCAATTTTCATAACCAATGCATAATGCATTTTCCCTTGAAAAATAGACACTTCACACCAGAAAAAACTAAAGATGTACAGAGGGAAGACCTCATTATATCAATGTGTTGAGTTTTATTCTATTTGTACAAATTTTGTAGAATTAGAACTGACTTTCTTTGTGCATTGATTCGGTTTTTTTCTGATTGATATCATAATGCATAAAAGTATTTGTGGAATGAATATAATCAAAAATAATTACCCCAACTAATTAAAACATTAAGATAGAAGAATTCCTGGTTTTAATAATAAACTAAACATTACATAACTAAAAATATTGTTAAAATGCAAACACCAGGCCTACATAGTACATACTGATTAAGAAGATAATTGTTATATATTCTACCAAACAACATATTAAATATAGATCCACAAGACAAAATATCATGCTTGCTCCTTACAGTGCACCACAGTCCACCTAGGAAAATTTATCATTCTGTGCCACCGTTGATAGATGCCTTTATCTAAAAGAAGAGAATATATGCTGTGACTCCAGCTATTTAAAGTGCTTTTCAATTCACTCCCCCTGATCTATTAGTGTTTAAATGTGATGCAATAATTCAATATTAGTCGATATTATCTTAAGCATGCACACCAGATTACCAAATTATCTATCAACACATTCAAATTTTTCATGAAAAAAATTCACGATACAAATTATACTCTAAATCTCAAGAATTTTTAAACCTCTGTAATAAACCAGATAATTGAACTATATAGAAATATTCTAACTATTTTACAAACGTCTTGTCAAATATTTCATGCCTCAACTTATAATCATGCAGTTTATCTCAGCATGGATTCTTTGGACGTTTTTTTAAAGGGAGGGATGATTGACAGGTTTATTGTTTAGACAGGTTTATTGTTAAGGGAGTGTTAACTATATTCGACATGGACGGTAAATTAGGAACGACTTTAAATCATAATGAAATTAATAAAAATAATTTTAAAAAACCAAACATAATATGTAATAGCGTCCTGAATTGGTCCATCCAACTTAGTAATAAAAAAAACTTTGGAATCAGTATAAATCCTAAAATTGCATTAGATCCATCAAGTTTTTACTGAAAGTGGAGGTAGTAGCTAGGTACTCCTTTTAAAGCACATGCTTTTGGGGAATTTAAAGTTGAGACATCCATTTTGTGGCATTCCGAGTGCACCCTTATTTTCCTACCAAAAATACATCACACACACTTACTTTCTTATTTTCTTTATAAACATTTACTTTTAGTATTATTGGACATGAATGAGACCATCTACAGAGTGAGAACTCGGTAATATCACTGCTTTGGAAAAAAAAATTCAAATTTAGGATAAACAATTTAATAAGATGTGATAAAAATCAAAATATTTTTGAAACATTAAAAAAAAATATTATCCGGAAAATATTTATTCGTATGTTTTCTAAAATTTAAAAAAATTCAGAAAATGTAAAGCAATTATCTGCATTTTTCAAGTCAGAACAGTTCTAAGGTTATATTTTGATAACAGTCACTGCAGATTTCCACTCAAATTTTTGCGGATTTCTAATGAATTTTTATGAAATTGTTTTCAATGTTCCAAAAATATTTTTTCAATGTTTTTTATTACATTTTGCTTCTTTTATGCCAAAAATTAAAAATCGAAACGAAACAAAAATTTAAAAGATGTTGTCCAAACTATTGATAATCCCGTTTTTGTCTTACCCTGTATGTATATGTATGAAAAGTAGAAACCATAGAAAACATCTACACTGATAAAGTTTTTTTTATAAAAATGATCAATAAAACTTAAATAAAGTTCTTTTTGAAGGGTAAAATTTTCCAATGGATAGTATTTGTTCTGAGACAGGAGTAGTTGCATTTTGAAAAGCGTTAAATTTACATTTACATATCATTTATTGTTGTTCTACGAGCTAATGTGCTGAATTGAGAATGCATTAAAAATCATAAACAAACTCAGTGTCCAATTGAGTAAAACAGACCGATAACTGTTCTGCATATTTTAGAAAATTTTTGTTAAAATTTTGATTAAAATAAAAAAATTAGACAACATTAATTCCGATAAAAAAATTTTAAACATAAATTTTGGGTTTAAACCAGAAGCTTGAAAAATACGGACAGCTTTAGTAATCCTTGTTTTCATTTTTCGTTTTACAAATCATAAAACTAGTTTAAACAGTAACATTTTTTTGTCGTCTTCTTCAATACCAGATATACCGTAGTAAAAGTGCCATAAAATGTGCAACTGCTCAAGTGCACAATGAAACTTCATTTTCCAAGTTTTAATAATGGCTTTCTTAATTTCACAACAATACTGGCATCCTTTGCGTTCAATTTGCAATTTGCATGTTCTCATATTCAATTTTAACTTTCTAATATGACGTAAAAGGAATTGAATCTTTGCCACAAACGCAAATTTTCTAATCCTTATATATTTTCAACATAATGGTATAAGCCTTTGATATTTCATACTTAGATTATTGCATCTTACAAAATTCATAGTTTGAAATGTCTAAGGTCTATCGGGTTGCAAAGATAAAGGGATAAAAAAATCTGAGTTTGAGGCAAAGTCTCAATTCCTTTAATCTGGGAAAGCCGTAATGGGTTGAACACAAGCAGCCGTAGTACATTTAAATTTCCGAGCCGGGTCAACCTTGCCGGTCCCAGTTTGCACTGTATTACCCGGACACTTGGTAAAAAAAAGCAGACACTCAATAGGAATAGCCGGTGCAACAAGGTTGACGAGGTCAGATTTTAGGTTGAATTTACTTTTACTAAAGTGTCAGAGGTGCGTGTGAAACCGTGAAACCTCCTTTTACAAGTAACTAGATTTATGAACAAAATATGAGAATCTGAATCTGAATTGAAGGATGTAGAATTGATGCAAAAATGATTGCAAATGCAAAAAGAAAGTAAGTGTGAGTGCTGATATGCACAGACAAATAATACTGGTGGTGAGCATGCTGCAACACTGACCCAGGTACTTGGATCCAACCCGGGGGAGAAACTGGATAAACTGGTTTTCTTCCACGAGCTACTATGCGGGTTCACCTAGAACCAGCAGCAGAACAGGTTTTTACAATGTATACATACAGTCAGATGAGAGGNTGTTTTGTGTAAGCTGATGATTGAATATTCGTGTCAATAAATGAATAAATAAAATATTGTCAATATATAATATACATTTTGTACACACATCACATATTATTAAGAAATACTGCTTGTAAGTAGAAATTAATTTTAATATGATGATCAAGTGCTTATACAGATTTTTTCCTTTTGAGACTTAAAAATGCTGAATTTCAAAATCCAACAAATTCACCAATTTTCCCCCTCCCTTTAACTTTTTTGTGGGGGGTAAGACATTTCTATGCTTTATACAGTTTTTGCCATCACCAAGATTATATCTTGTATACGCACCCGACAATAACGTTTAAATCTGTAGAGCTTGTTAAAAGATGTAAACATTTATCATTTAGAAGTAATTCAGAGCAAGTTAAAATCATCAGAATTATTTTGAATAATTACTTCTAACTTTGCACGCTCAAAATGAACTAGGAATGATGTTTCATTATTGTGATGTCAAAATGTGTAGGACACAGATCTAAGATGATAAATTATACCAGATGGGAGGGCATAATAAATCTTAACACATCTGCTATTGTACACAAAATAATTTTTCTATGTAGATATTCCTTACTATCCTATCAAGAGAATTCTGCCATCTAAGGGATGGGATTAATAAAAGAAAGATAGACCTGTAAAAAGCATTTGACTATTTAAAACAAAATGGTTTATTTGTTGAAATTAAATCTTTTGAGGTTTTTTGTTGTAAATTATTTCTTTATTCTAAATGTAAATTATATGTTAAATTATTACATGAAATTTCAAATATTTCTTCATAAGTTATAATATAATATTTAACTTTTAAACTTGAACCCAAGGTATGTTGTTCTAAGTTTAATATCTGAAAGTGAACAAACATGAAAATATAAGCACATCAAGGATAAGTTTATTTACCCTGAGAAATAGATTTTGTACAGTTCCACAATCCGCTCCCTTCTCTTCATCCAACAGAGAATACAGAATATTTCTAAAATAGAATTAATAAAAATAAACCTGTTAAAAATTTGCTTATATTCATGTTATTTTGGTCTCTCAGAAAGAACATACTGAAACATTGGGGGACAAAACTTAATAGGAATTTCAATTCTTGAATAAACTAGCAATACATGTATTGATCAGGGTTGCCACAAAAAAAAAAAAAATAGTTTTTTGCATTAATTGCTTTTACTTGCACAGCAAAAAAAATGCACACAGTTGGAACCTGAGCCAAAAAATTTTGGTTAAAATTGAGCTTAATCCAAAGGAATATTTCACGGTTGTAAAGATTTAGATTTATGCTACAAATTGAAAATTATTTTTATAAATGAATAAGATAAATATTTTTAGATTCTACCTTGCTGGAATACGCTGATAAGCTACTCTTCTGTTTCCACTGATCATCCAGATAAATACATCTGGGAGGCTATGCTGCGGCTAGAAAATAATAATATTACATCTGGGAGGCTATGCTGCGGCTAGACAACAATAATATTACATCTGGGAGGCTATGCTGCGGCTAGACAACAATAATATTACATCTGGAAGGCTATGCTGCGGCTAGGAAACAATAATATTACATCTGGGAGGCTATGCTGCGGCTAGTAAACATTAATATTACATCTGGGAGGCTATGCTGCGGCAAGAAAACACCAATATTACATCTGGGAGGCTATGCTGCGGCTAGAAAACAATAATATTACATCTGGGAGGCTATGCTGCGGCTAGAAAACAATAATATAACATCTAGGAGGCTATGCTACGGCTTGAAAACATTAATATTACATCTTGGAGGCTATGCTGCGGCTAGAAAACAATAATATTACATCTGGAAGGCTATGCTACGGCTAGAAAACAATACTATTATATCTGGGAGGCTATGCTGCGGCTAGAAAACAATAATATTACATCTGAGAGGCTATGCTGTGGCTAGAAACCGAAAATGTTAGAAAAATTATCTTTGCAACCTGATGGTGTAAACCTTTAATATATCATACTTTGACAGTTAGTTCTAGCAGGAGTCATAGTTTGAAATAATGAAAATTTGTTAAAATATCTTTAAGCAAAAGGAATATATCATTAATCCACAACAGTATTCATAAAACTTCATCTGGTCAAATTAATTAGTTTTAAAAGTGCTTACATCTGCTTACATCTTACATGTTACCTCAATTTTGCTGTGGTATGAAACCACAATTGTTTATAATCAATTTTAAAAAAGGAGAATATGGATATCTCATTAAGTTTTCTTTTAAAAAAGTGTTCAAGATTACTATTGTTAATTGTAAGTTGAATATGCCATTTCTTTTTAAATAGAGAGAGTTTCCCTTCAATATTTCTAGGGTTTTTAGAGGATTCACAATAAACCTAAATCTTTTCAGATAATATCAACTATTTTCTCAAAAAAAACTTTGACATAGGTCTTTAAAAAAACTTACATCTTCAACTAGTTTCTTTAATCTATCAAGGAAACCAAGTGCTCCTTTATACTTCTCCTTGATTGTTCCTTTTTTAACACCAAGCTTCCACTGCCGGGCCTGACCTCCAATGGTCTCCTAAACAAGTTTTTTTCTTGAATTTTATCATGTTGTATTTAAAGAATTAGCATTAAATTTAGAGAAAATTATAAATTTAAAATCTTTTGATTCTTATTTATAGCTATTTATTGGAAACATATTAGAAACCTTTGTAATTAACTGCAAATTCAAATGATTTATTACTTCAAAAGGAACTGAGTTTTTGCAACAAACTAAGAAAGTGAACACTCATTCTACAAATTTTCACTTTCTAATCCCTTCTTTGGAACCTTCAGAATATCTTAGCCCTTTAAAACTATAAAAAACGGTCCTGTTTCGTTTTCTTTTTTTTCTAAAAACTATCAATTTTGAAAACAACGAACACGTTTTCAACTTTTAAAAACGAGAAACGATGGTTTTTGACAACAATAGTTTTTTAAATCGATAGTTTTTTAAGAAAAAAAAATTGCTAACGAATCACAGTTTTATGACAGTTAATTTCAATTTTTCTCAGAAAGATCAGCGTAAGAATGTTGTTTTAAATATTTTTTTTATCGAGAGAAATAACCTGAATGTATTCTGACCTTGGATTTTCCGACCAAAAAATGTCTTGTAAAGGTTGTTAACAATCGTTATTGAAGGGTCGTCATTAACGGTCGTTAAAGAAAGGTCGTCGTTGACAATCGTTAACGACGAACTTTTCAAAAATGATCGTTCCGTTTTTAAAAACTACCGTCTTTCAAAAACAATTTTTTTCAAAAACGTTATTTTTTTCGTTTTTTCTTCGTCGTTTTTAAAAGAAACAAACGTTTTAAAAAAGTAAAAACGATTCATCCCTGGACTACACATCTACTAAAGAGGAAGATATTTCACAAAGTTTAATAAAGTTAAAATGTGTTAATGGAACTCATTTATATTTCATTACCTTTGAAAGAATTTAAAAGATTTGAAAGAAGATTTAGGAAATGGTTTCACAACATATTTTTCTTTCTTTTTGTTAACTTGAACTTTGAAATAAAAATGAGAATAGAATTTTTAAAGGAAGTACTCTGAATAATTTAAAAGGAAAAATTGATTTAAAATCAGAACTTTTGTGTTTTGAATTTAATGAAGATCTTCGGATTAATTTAATTCCTCTTAACAATCCTGTGGCCGAATTTAAAGATTTTGAGCGGCGGTTTAAATTTAAGCCGCGGTTTAGATATGGTTGGTTCCACTTAAAATTGTATCAAATGTTTCAAGATTTAAGCCGGCTCTAAATCTAAACCGGGTTTTGGCGGATTTAAACCGCGGCTCAAATTCTTTAAATTCCATCTCTGGTCATACCTTGCAGAGATGATTACTCATTGATCCTTAGATGTAAAATTGTCCACATTGGATGTCAATATCAAGCATTTAAGATTAACATTAATCGCACACAAGTTCTCAGGTCTGATTGTTACTTGAAAGGCAGAAAAGTGGCATATCGTTAAATGAAAATACTAATTGGAATTACTGGAGAGTGATTCAGACAGCCATAATTTAACTTAAAGATGGGTTGACTATAAAGTGTTCTAATGTCATGGCCTTTGGTTCTCATTCTTGTTACAGTAGAAGTACACATTAATGTTGACTATTTAGCACTGATTCTTCTCTAATTGGACGATGAGATAAATAGATAGAATCTTCATCAAGCACGTGACTGAACCCTGATTGAATTAGACGTTACTGGAAAAATGAAACATCAGAGTTCTACCTTACTTTCTTATTTTACTTTTGTATTACTAGACAATAGTCACTATACTTTACGAACTAGACAATAGTCACTATACTTTACCAACTAGACAATAGTCACTATACTTTACTAGACAATAGTCACTATACTTTACTAGACAATAGTCACTATACTTTACTAGACAATAGTCACTATACTTTACGAACTGCAATGTGCTTCTTTTTAGCATCAGTTTATGAGAACTAAGTTTTAAAGAAAAAAAATGATTATTAAAATGATTGAAATAGTACAAACCAGCTCAGACTGACACAGAGCAATCCGTTCCTTATCCAGTCTTGTCTTCCCAGTAGAGGAAACCCCTGTATTTGGGGTCTTGCATAACGATAGAAAACCGTTGCAGCCTGAATTGAAACCATGTTTATTTTCTGTTTAAAAAGAAAACAATTTATTTTTAAACCATTTAATGAATAAACGTTACATTCAGAAATAAAGGTTCAATTTTCCTAATCTACTCTTACTAAAAATTGACGATAAGGACTGTAAAAGTAATTTCTAGGGATTTCAAGGGATATTTTAAGGGATAAAAAAGACACTATTGTAACTTATTGTTATTACCTTGGTACAACTGATCAAATGCATCCTTAAGCTTGTATTCAGCAGAATCATGTTCAGCATCAATAGAAAGATGGACCTCGTGCAGGTTCTCCTCCTAGAAAATTCATTTTTATATTTTTCATAATTGTGTTTAATTACCAAGCATGAGAAGTTACAAACAATTATTTACAATTTACTAAGTTAAGTTTGGACCCGCGCCTAACTAGTTTAGTATATTTCAGGTATTTTAAATGCATCAGTCAAGAACAATAATTAATCCAAAATACATTTTTATTATGTTAATTGATCAGGGTAGGGATTTGTTTCAAAAAAACTATAACATTGGGCGTTTTTAGAACGAAAACCTTTGTACAGAGATCCTGAACAACAGTAATAGTAGTTTCGATGAATAAATTAACCATGATACTGTTATTTATTGATAGACTTTCAATCAGAATCAATCAAAGCCATGAACTTTAAAATTTGTTGTATTTGAGATTTTTTTATAACTTTGGATAATTTTCATTCTCTCCATTCTATGAAATTGGTCTTTTTTAAGAGTGGAAATCTCCAATTTTTTTTTAATTGGAAGGAGAGAAAGAAAGAAAGACATTTTGCTTATAAGGTTTCCAATGTTTAATCCAGAAAGGGTTTAAAATGGTTTAATTCTAAAGGAAATCAATTCAATTCTTTAAAAACAAACTTAAAGCTACATTTGGAGTCTATTTAAAACATCTCATTTTTTTACTTTTATAACATTCTATTGTTTTTTTTTTCGTAAACTTGTATTTATGTGGAAAACATTATGCACAATTATGGTAAATTTGAAGCAGATTAAATTGAAGGAGCTAATATTTATTGTAATCATGTCTTGTAGTCTTAATTTGAATTTTTTTTCAAAACCTAATTTATTATTTATCCACCTTTCACCAGGTTTCTAAACTTTCAGTATTCAGCTTAATTATTCAGAACATTTGCAAAACTGAAATCATTCTTGAACAGACTGTAAAGGAAAAATGAAGGGGGGTATAGGCTGAAACAGTTACATTTTAGGAGTTGATCGAGACCCATAATAGTTCTATCTGATGTTCCTGACTCGAGAAATTGATCTAATACTTTATCAAAATTTATGTATATTTGAAATATTACAAGTTTACATAATTTGGTTGTAGATATATAGATATTAGAAAATTGGGATTTGTTGCAAAGACTCAATTACTTTGTATAAAAATCGTAAGTTTAACAGATGATATTCAGCAAATACGCAACCAATCTGAAAACGACGATATCCCAGAGAAGCCTAAGTGACATGGGTTATTTGAATATAATATTTTTTTCTAATAGATATAATTGATCAAGGTAATTGATAATATAATAAATATGTCCGTATCACGTGACCAGAACTCCCACCAATTGCGGTACGGTATCATTATCACGTGTCTCCGTCTGTGTCACGTGACAGTGATACTGTGATACTAATTTCTCCAATCTAGTTTGAAAAAATCTTATTAACATTGCGGACATGATTGGAAAAAAAAATATTTTTGACGAGTGTAAGTGATCAATTAAGCTTTTATTTACTTACCAATTTATCTGCTATCTTCCCAATAACATTGCTAATGTACATCCGTCTCCTGTAAGAATTGGTTTAAATACATTGCAATTTAATGTTTGTACACATTGTTTGCGTATTTGTTTGTGCATTAGCTTTAACTGTACAGAAACACCATTTTAATTAAGGTAAATTGCAGAAAATGGAATTGCTTCTAAATGAAATGAATAGCTAGGTGATGATATAAGCAAAAGGGTTCGCCCACTCAAACAAATCTTAGTGATTGGTTCAGTATTCTGAATTTAAATGAGTGACTTTGATAAAAATTAAACTTTTAAGATTCTAACTCACTTAATCAGAAATTCACAAGAGGGCGGAGGTAGGGTTGTTAATTGTTTTTTTAAAACGATTATTAAACGATCGTTTGTTGTTTCGTTTTTAGATCGTTTTTAAAACGATCGTTTCATTTTAGGAAAAAAACGACCCACTCATTTTAACTTTTAGAAAACAAATGACGACCTTTTTTTGAAAATAATCGTTTTTAAAATAACAAATAGCGACCTTTTTTATATGATTGTTTTTTTTAAACGATTGTTTTAAAAAAAGGATCATCTTTGAGGAAAAAAATTATCATTAATAAATATGTTAATGAAGGGTCGTCGTTAACGATCGTTATCAAAGGGTTGTCGTTGACGATCGTTAACGAAACAACACACTTTTTAAATACGGTCGTTCAAAAAAAACGATATTTTTGAAGAAAAACATTACAAGCAACTTTATCGAATGTTGTCTTTCATAAAGTTAAAAAATTGTGGGGGAGCTAAAACTTCTTGATATGTTGAATGATAAGTACCGATGCCCTGCAGGTTGGTTTCCTCTCTCCTCCTCTCTTCGTTAACGATCTTTAACGAACGTTAACGAAGGGTCGTCGTTAACTAAACGGCAAGTTTTGAAAAATGACCGTTTTTAAAAATGAACTTTAAAAAACGATTTTTTGTCGTCGTTTCATGACGAAACAATCTTTTTTTTTCAAAAGATTGAAAACGTTAACATCCCTTGGTGGAGGGTTGTATGAAACACATTAATCAAAGTAAAAAAAAAATTCTTTTTATTTAATCATTAATCTCTATTTTACACGTTCCCTTATTTGGATAATTTCAGTGTAAACTTAACAGGCAACACGTACAAGTTATTAATTTATACCCAGAATTTACTTTTCTCCGACCATGAATAATAAATATCTTTAAAAACTAAAAAAAATAAAGTTAAGTAGCTTGTTGCATATTTTATTTTTTTCCTAAAAAAACCTAAATATGAGAATGAGTTCGATCTTTAACAATGTTTATAAATGATATATGCATGGAGAATATAGTTTTTCAGCATCAAATACAGAAATTTATTCTAAAATTAATCTACAAAATACATCCGTTTTGAAAATGAAATTCGACTACTCTTACAAGCTGGAAAACTTCAAATCTTGTTTGAAAATTAAGTAGAACCCAAGGAAGTTATGTACGCATTTCGCGTTGAATTACAAGACAGAGAGAGAGCCTGTTCTAGCCGCAGCGCTTGCCCCCCTAGCATGTCCTAGCCGCGTCGCTTGGTTCAGAAAGTGTCTTAACCTAACCTCCTAACCCTTAAATATATACTAATCTCTCTCTTCTTGTAATTTAACTCGGCAACGTACCTTCCTTCGGCATTTGCCAAGTGGTGGGGGGGGGGCAGGGCATATGACTGGGAATTTGTTCCTGGGGAACGATTGTTCTTTCACGAGAACGAACGGAACTGTCAAGAACAATCCCAACTTTCAGAAAAAGAACGGAACGCACAGAACGCATTCTTTAAAAACATTTGTAAAAGAACGGAACTGAACGGAACGGAAATTGCTTGAAAAGAACGTTTAAATCAGGAACGCGTTCTTATTATCAAAAACGCATTTTCAGGAACGTATAACCTGTGATCTGGAAGAGCTGTCCTAACATAAAGGCTTGGTTTCTCATCCCAGAACGGAAGGAAATAATACAGCCTAAAGAAGAATATTGTCATGTTTTATCATTTAGTAAATTTTGTATAGAGGCAAAAGTTTAAGAAAAACAATTACATGGATTGGTAAACAAAAGTAGATGTGGCAATAACAGTTTATATATTCTAAATTATAAAAATCTAAAAAATTAGTTAAAAATGTTTTCTTAAATGTTAAGTTTGGGATTTTGTGTGTTTGGGGAGGTCATAATTCCTGATACTTCACAGTTCAAGTTCATTAATTTATTATGTGTTTAATGCATACACCTAAAATGTATTTATTTTATCCTAGAAAAGGTAATCTAATTTTTGCTTGATCCCGAATAATTACATTTATTCTAGGAATTAAGAATGATACATGATAATCTTGAATTAGGGAAATTATCTCAATGCATTTCAGTAACATCATTGAAGAAACTAAAAAATAAAATCCTGGAAAAGGCCTCTAATCCAAATTCTCTTTACAAGATAAGCCAGGGTTTTTTTTGGCTTGTAGGATTAAAGAATAACACGATAAACTCACAAGAAGGAGATTTTTATTTGGCGTACCGTCCTCATTTAGCCTTCTATAGACAGTATGTGTACTTTTAAAACCTTGCCCTTGCTTCCTAAAAAATCGGAGTTTACAGTGATAAGGCTTGTATACATGATTGTACTGTATGGCAACAGCCCAACAAGTTCAACTGTAAACTCCGGTTTATTTAAAGTAAATCGCCGTCTTTCAGCAGCTAGGACAAGCAGTACAGTGTACATACAGACTATATAATGCAAAACGGGATGGTACGAGATTCTTGTGGTCAAGGATTTCATGCAAGGAAAGTTATTTCAGAGGTGTACGCATCTTTTGTACTGCAGTGACTGTCACCATGGGCGATAATTTAAACACAAGACGGATGTCAAAGCCTGACATGGGATCCATCTTTCACATAAAAAATCAATGAAATATTCTGGTCATAGGAAACTATTATGTAAATTATCAAAATTATCAAAATTCAATGCTTTTAACCTCCTCGGATACTAAACGAACACTGAGGCATCTATTCTTGTTTACAAATTCCGCCCAAAGAGAACTGGTTTCAATATGTACGCAGAGTATACGCAGCTGCAATTATCTTTCCTTGCATTACATTCTTGCTTGTGGTAAATGAAACATGCAATTACTGGATCAGTGTTTCTATACCTGTCATGAGAAAGCGCTCTGGTCGGAGGTGTTGTACTGTTCCAGGTGGCACGGAGTACATCCTCTCCTATATAGTGTACTCATTAGTTCAAAATTTACATGATCCGATGTGGGTCTAGTCTTTATAAACATACCAGCCTGTCTAGTGTTGCCTGTGTATGGTGACCCAAAGTGTTTCATGCAACAGAATTTGGCGAGTTAAATTATAGTGTGTACAGTGTACAAAATCATTGAAACAAAATTTTAGGTTAAATCTTTAAAATTGAGTTATCATTTCATTTATTTAAATTTATGTCTAATGATTCTGTCCCCATGGCATGATGGTTTGTATCAAGGGACTTACTTTCATCATCATGATGGTTTGTATCAAGGGACTTACTTTCATCATCATGATGGTTTGTATCAAGGGACTTACTTTCATCATCATGATGGTTTGTATCAAGATCATCAACTCTTCCAGGAATAATTTCTCCGTCCAAGGCATTACCAGCATTACCCATAGATATCTCAAACCATATTGATTTATCTACTAGCCTAGAATACAAACAATAAAAAGGATCGTCCTTACAGATATCATCATAAATTTTAAATTTTTCATGAAATTTAACTCATTCCAAGCAGTGTTTTTACTGGATTAACAAAAAATCTTTCAATTGTGGAATTCTTCACAAATTTTCAGCCGGATTTTCCAAAATTACGTTTGACTTTACAAGGGATTTGCTAAAAGACATAATTTTATTCTTTGGTCATATTTTTATAAACAATAAAGGACTTTTACAGGAATTAAGTCTCAAATTTTCTAACTGATATTTCAAACTCAGATAATTAATTTTGTTTAAACAAAATCAGAATTTTCGGCGAAAAATCAATTGTTTAATAAAATGTGTATGAATATATACTGTTGTACAGTAATAACCAGAAAAATCTGGAAAAAGAAGTCAACACTTAGACTCAAATTAGGACTTCAAATAGTCCAATACACATGAGGCACAACAATAGTGCAGTGTAAACAGACCCCATTTCACCTAATAAGTGATTTAATAACTTAATAGTAAAGTTATTTGATTTGCAACAACATCAAATAGACTTCAGTATTGCTTTAATGTCGTCTTCCAATTCTACAGTTTTCTGGTTCTTACTGTATATATCATATATATATATTATAAATATATAAACTATAAATCAAATATCTAACTGCTCTATAGGATAAAGTATGCATATATCTAAATAAGCCAGGAATAGAATAAAGAAGAAAGATTTTATTTCCAAATTACAATATAGGATATCTACAATATCCTGGTAAAACATCTATAGGATATCTACAATATCCTGGTAAAACATCTATAGGATATCTACAATATCCTGGTAAAACATCTATAGGATATCTACAATATCCTGGTAAAACATCTATAGGATATCTACAATATCCTGGTAAAACATCTATAGGATATCTACAATATCCTGGTAAAAAATCTATAGGATATCTACAATATCCCGGTAAAACATCTATAGGATATCTACAATATCCAGGTAAAACTTCTGAGCTGATCAGACCAACATTTTCATTAGAGGTCTAATATGAGACCATAGGAATAAAAATATATACTTTTAAATTCATAGGGAGCATAGTTGCATAGTTTTATATGAATATGCTTATCATTTATGCCATATAATCAAATATAGCATTAAATTTTATATATTTATTTATAACATAGGATGCATGAATAGCTATAGATGCATAGACTCTTATGAGGAAATATATACAAGTTTATAAACGGATGCATAGAATGCATGTAAAGACTCTTATAAATAAATCTATAGAAGTATATATAGGGCTGCATAGGATACATGTAGCAAATACAGAGGCCTATAGTAAAATTACGTTGTACATTGTCCATTTAGCTAAATGTGCCCATTAGTAAATATGCAAATCATGTATTGCGATTAACCCATTTAGTATATGCAGATATATATGTAACTACATCATACTAATATTGAGATTGCTTAACTACGTTATTTATAACAGAGAATAACTTGTAATTACGCTGTTAAGATCAAATCCTAATCTAAGCCTGAAGAAATATAGCTAGTTGAAATAGAGACTCTGTACTGTTTACTAGGAGAGAGTAATCGTTTCCTGTTTTTATAAACAGGTTGAATATCGTGTCCCAGTAAAGACATTGATAGTTTACGAGATTGTGTCCTAGTTGAGGCATTGAAAGCTCAAGATCGTGTCCTAGTTGAGACATTGATCGTTTACAAGATCGTGTCCTAGTTGAGGCAATGATAGCTCAAGATCCTGTCCTAGTTAAGACATTGATAGTTTACAAGATCATGTCCTAGTTGAGGCATTGATAGCTCAAGATCGTGTCCTAGTTGAGACATTGATAGTTTACGAGATCGTGTCCTAGTTGAGACATTGATAGTTTACGAGATCGTGTCCTAGTTGAGGCATTGATAGTTTACGAGATTGTGTCCTTGTTGAGATAATGATAGTTTACGAGATCGTGTCCTAGTTGAGGCATTGATAGCTCAAGATTGTGTCCTAGTTAAGACATTGATAGTTTACAAGATCATGTCCTAGTTGAGGCATTGATAGCTCAAGATCGTGTCCTAGTTGAGGCATTGATAGTTTACGAGATCGTGTCCTAGTTGAGGCATTGATAGCTCAAGATCCTGTCCTAGTTAAGACATTGATAGTTTACAAGATCATGTCCTAGTTGAGGCATTGATAGCTCAAGATCGTGTCTTAGTTGAGGCATTGATAGTTTACGAGATCGTGTCCTAGTTGAGACATTGATTGTTTACGAGATCGTGTCCTAGTTGAGGCATTGATAATTTACGAGATCGTGTCCTTGTTGAGACATTGATCGTTTACAAGATCGTGTCCTAGTTGAGGCATTGATAGCTCAAGATCCTGTCCTAGTTAAGACATTGATAGTTTATAAGATCATGTCCTAGTTGAGGCATTGATAGCTCAAGATCGTGTCCTAGTTGAGGCATTGATAGTTTACGACATCGTGTCCTAGTTGAGACATTGATTGTTTACGAGATCGTGTCCTAGTTGAGGCATTGATAATTTACGAGATCGTGTCCTTGTTGAGACAATGATAGTTTACGAGATCGTGTCCTAGTTGAGGAATGGATAGCTCAATATCGTGTCCTAGTTGAGACATTGATAGTTTTTAAGATCGTGTCCTAGTTGAGACATTGATAGTTTTTAAGATCGTGTCCTAGTTGAGACATTTATAGTTCAAGATCGCGCCCGGCGGTAGTGGCGTGGATAGTTCACGCCATAGTAGCCGTGTGGAACATGTCCTTGTTGAGACATTAATCGATTAAGAGAATCTGAGTTGTATCTGGAAAGATATGTGTTCAAGAATCCGTAATGCATAAAGGCATTTACTACATGCAGACATATCATAGATGCATTGATTCTTTTCGTTTCGCGAAAATTTCGCGACCATTTCGCTACATTTGTTGCATTTCGTTCGCTCGCTAAAGATGCGAAAATTCTCGCTTTTTTCGCGAAATTTCGCTTTAATTTGTCTTGCGAAAATTTTCGTTCGCTGGAAACCCTATACTGCATTGGATGCATACTGCATAGCGTAGAAAAGCAACTATTACTAGAAACAGGGCGGCACAAAGCACTATAGCAGTCTAGTATTAGATTATTTTTTAAGTATAAACTTATGTTTTGGTTTCAAAACGTTTCAATATTTGAGAAATATATTCTATTCTTGGCCTATTTTTTTATTGAAAAACTTAACCTTTTATCTATGATTGTAGCTTCTAATATAGTGCTGAAAAGGAAAAATTCCTCTCTTCTATTGTAAACAGCCTGAAAAGATCAGATGTAATAGACAATTATTCTTTTCGAGTATGTTGAACTAAAAAACAGATTGTACATTGTCCAATATATACACAAATATATATATTGTACATCTTTGTACAATAATTTACATTGTACAATAAAGTAAGGTACAATAATATACATTTCACAATGATAAATGTGGACAGTTCAACTGTAGCTGTACGTAAAAAGGCAATCTTTAATAAAAATTAGTCCATTTTTGAAAACAGTTTTATGTAAAATCAAACTTTTGTTTCCACGTCTAAATGCAATGTTAAATTTAAAAAAAAATTAAAAAGGCAATTTTAAAAATGAAAAATGTATTCCTTTTTTACTCGAACTATTGAATTCCACGTCTAAATGCTAATAAAATTTGAAAGCAAAACTTAAAAAAAAATCTTTTAGAAAAATTATTCCATTTTAGAAAACAGTATTATATAAAAATGTATTCCTTTTTAACATCGAATATTAAATAACATTAAATAGACAAAATAAATAGAATATTTTTAATCAAAAAATCTTCAAACCAAAAACTAACAAATTATATTAATGTTAGATAATTTGTGCAAATTATAAATTTCAATAGTAATATCAAATTGTCCCTGCATATTGTCAATAAGATCTGATATTAACACAACAAAGGACGACCTTATATTTATTTTGCTTAATATCCCTGATACCAACAAATGTTTTAATCACTAGTTTATTTAAAATACTAATTAAAAAAAATCCTAAAATTTTGTGTGCAAAATTTAGTTATAGACAAAATGTTAAATATATCTCTAATTTCTGATTTAATTTCAAAATGTACGTATTTGGTAAATTTAATATTTCGAACAAAATATTGGGGTTTCTTTTAATTGTAAATAATATCTCAAATAAATCAGTATATATTTTATAATATTTAATATTAATTAAATCTATTTTTGACAAATTAAAAATGTAGAGACATAAAAAGAAGAAAACAGTTCACACCAAGGTTGTAAAATAAGGTTGGTTATTCTTTTTATGCTCCAATGTACGGAAAATGTAGTCTCCTAAGATAGATAGATACAATCCTAATATGACGTGACTGATTAGTGATTATAAAGGTGAGAGTGACGTCATAGTAGGATTATATCTATCTAACGTCGGAGACGACATTTTCCGTACATTGGAGCGCATTCAGAGTGACCAACCTTATTTTACAATCTTGCTTTACACACAATTCCCACAAATAAATTGCGAAATTCAACATCTGTTACATTTAAAATTGGCGAATTTAGCATAAGGATTTCCCTTGCCATGCTAAGTTTGATAATATGCTAGGACAAGAGTAGGTTTTAAAATAAAATACATCAGCAGTCGGAACTTTTGTTTTTTCACGCCTAAACACAATTTTCTAATCCCTATATCTTTGCAACCTGATGGTGTAACCCTTTATATCACAGAATTAGAATATTTGATCAATCAAAAAGTGTGGACAAAATCAGTTCATTTGAAAAAAATCTGAAGGAACTGGAGTTCAAAAAAACTTCAGAATGAATTTAATTTTAAAATAATCTAAGCGCATTTAAGATTTACACGGACGTGATCTAATTCTCAAAGAAATAGATCAAAAGCATTTAGTGCAAGAATGCAGAACACATGTTTTGTTGTACCTCAAACTGCCTTAAATAGTCTGATGATTCCTAGATTTACAAAAGTAAAATATACATATGAAGCAAAATGTTTTTTTTTCAGAAATATAAAAATTATAACAAAATCGATTTGAATTTACAGCACGGAAAATAACGCTTTGAAGATCATTTATTTGAAATTACAATTCCAATCATTAAGTTAAATAAAATAAATTTAGATATTTTTTGTTTTATTTGATAAATGCTTCACTAAAGTTCATGAATCAATCGAATATTTTACCTCGTTTATTGTATGCGTGGGCTCTACTTCTACTTCACTAGGAGCCGTGTCAATACTATCAGAGATTTCAGTCTTTATAGCGATCAAGAGACGACCCCTGAAATATATATCGATCAACATGTATAGTTATTACGAGACGACCCCTAAAAATGTATAGTTATTACGAGACGACCCCTAAAAATGTAAAGTTATTACGAGACGACTCAAAGGTTTAAAAATAAAACTCCAAAACCTAAAACTCTTATATTTAAAATTTAAAACCTAAAACTCTTAAACTCTTAAACCTAAAACTTTTAAAACTTTAAACCTAAACTTTTTTAATATCTTAAACCTAAAACTTTAAAAACATTTAAATACGAACATCTTGAAACTCTTAAACAAAAAACTCTTAAAACTTATAACTGAATACTAATTCTAAAATAAATCTTTAAATCTAAATCACACAGGACTCTTAAAACTCTTAAAACTAAAAGTCCTAAAGCTATTAAACCTGTCTGCACCAGAAATACCTACTATTTGGTTGAAATATAAAAATATTATAATGACAGGATTATCTCTATTTTATGGGCACATAAAACTCTAGTGAACTATTAACAATTGTTAATAAAAGTGAGAGGGATCATTTGTTGTTAAAGGGAGTGTTCGCGAAAAATGAAAGGGGGTATAGGCTTAATGCGATAAAAAAGCGCTTTTGATCGCTACTAATCTTACTTCTGTCTGTTGCGTCTATAAGGAGAAAATTGTTAAAGACGTCTCATACCGAATAACTTAGCGCCCATACAAATTGAGAAAATTGCAACATTCTACTTAGACTGTAAAAGATCAATTTGATTTCAAACAAATCATTTAGATTTTACAACCTATAGTCATCGATTATCTTTCGCCACATTTGTATATAGTTTATATTTTATAATATTTTATTTTTTTAGAAAACGTTTTCAACGGATTTCGAAAATTGTGAGTGTTGTGCGGCATTCTTAGATAGTTGCGCGATCAACAGCGTTTTTTATCGCACTAAGCCTATACCCCCTTTCATCTTTCGCGAACACTCCCTTTAACATTCAAGCATTAGTTGCTAGATATATCTCCGTTTATCTTCTATAAACTCAAAAGGACTAAAACATTAAGCTGAAAAATCAGCTGTTTGTAAAGAAAAATGCAAATTTCAAATATTTTCTTCATTAGGCATCAGTCATCACTCGGCACAGAGTGTTTATACTATTTTCGACCTTTTTTATCATTTAAAAACAATTTCAAGTGACCTTCCATCTAAAGAGTGGCACGCCCGTAATACAAATAGCTTTGTATCATCAAGAATGAATGATATATACATGTTTTTTTTTTGAAATTTGATTCTTTTCAATTGTGATTTCTCTAGAAAAGCTACTGAGGGATTTTGGCTGACCGAAACAATGGAGGAAACTGTCTGAATCTCAAACTAACAAAACGACGTTTTCTTCTACATTAATTATCAAATTAAGATTTAATAGATTAAATTGTGAACAGGGAGTTCCTCTCTTTATATGGAGGTTCACTTGAAATTACAAAGACAGTCAACAGTAAGAATGCTTTTTTAAAATTATAACTTCCTGTGAGAATATGTTTAGTCATGAACAATGTACGATTTACACACTATATTAAAGATCCATTCCCCTTTAATAATTGAAATCTTAAAAGAATTCAGCTTGTATTTTTATTAAAATTTCTCTGTTCAGGATTAAAAACGTATCAAGCATTGATTTCTATTTTGTGCACTCCTTAGGATTAGTTTAATTCCTCTTATATATATTCCGTGGTGGTCATACGTTGCAGAGGTGTTTTAATTAAGGGATTAAACATTGATCCTTTATATATTTTAAAGTGCGTCCCCCCCCCATTGAATATCGAGATCAAAAGTTTTCATCTCAGATATTTACCTATTTTTACTATTTTTCTACGGAAGGATTGACGAGTTGCAATAAAACTTTGTAAACCCTTATTTTTCCTTCTCTTTGTGAATATAAAGAACTCTATAATTCTTTTAGAAACTTTATAGTTTACTTTAAAAATCACACTTTAAAGGCCCTAAATATACCATTTAAAAAAGTAGTTTTGCCCGGAAGAGTCAAATGTGGTGGTACGGAAGGGGAAATAGTGGTGGCTCATGGCTGCCGGAAGAGAAAAAAGCTAATATGTGGCACGGAAGGGGAAATAGTGGTGGCTCATGGCCGCCTGCCTTCCCCCGCTCCTCAGGCAGTTATTATTAAAGCCCGGTTTTAGGCCTGAAGTCAGGGCTTTGGGTATGTAGGAAAAGTCAGAAAATTTCAACAGCCTCAGACCAATACTTTTTGAGTTATGTAAAAAAAAAACTACAGGGGGGGGGGCAAATTGACCCCCCCCCCCCCCAGCAGGAATAGGGTTAATAAGTTTTCTTTCTGTGCAGTTTTAAACGTGGAAATTAATAATTCATATTTATACTCAAAATAACGAGACCCTAAAAGGTTAAAATCGAGGATGTCAATTTGTAAAAACCAAAATAAAAAAATTAAAGATGGCCGCCAGTTCTACCTGTATGCTACTCCTTCTCCTATACCATCATTAAGAGTTGAGTTTTCATCTATTAGAGAGTAGTCTCGGGTTGATCCATACAGGTTTATAAACCCAGGACCAAATGTCGGCAGAAAACCTACAATCACAGTGATTTAGTCAATTGATGCTTTGCGGGTATCTGGCGTAGAGACAATGAAGGAAATCGTCAGAATGCAAAACTTATTAAGATAAAAAAGCATAATACATATACTAGCTTCCTTAACATTGTTTTCATAAAGGTTTAAAGGTTACGTTTAAACGCAGGGTCTCTTTAAATTACGTTTACAGTCCCTTAAATGGACACTTTTTCATATTATCTAGTTTTTGTGTGGATAAACGCTTTGACATATAAAATTTATGATTTAATAATGAATGTTTTGTTTTTGTTTTTGTTTACTAATCTAAGATTCAAAAACTATCAAATTCATCTTTGGCATCAAATTAAACACTGTTTTTACCTTTATCCTTATCATTAGATATTGTTGAAAGATCTATGAAATGTGTTGCTATAACCGTATCCCCAACCTAAAATAGTAGAGCTTGTAACTTTTAAATGAACAGAATGAGATAAACTGATTCGATTTTCGCGGTGAGATAAATCGATCTTTCAGGATCTTGACCAAGAAGAAGTCGCTTCAGAAAAATATACCTTTTGTTTTAACTTTTTATGAAATTTTGATATCAATTTAACTCGGGTAAAATAATTTGAACTAATCAATATATCTTTTATTGGATAAACCTTTGAAATTATACCAATGAGGGATGAGAGACTAATCAACCAAATGGTGATTTTTCAAACTTTAATTATTTGATCTATAAGCAGAATTTACAGTTTTAAATATCAAAGGTCTACTGCATTGGGTTAATCACACAAAGAGATTATAAAGTCAAAGTTTGTGGCAAAAGTTGACATCATAACCAACCGAGGGGAAAGAACGTTTTAGAAAAAAAAAACATATGTCCGTTTCCTCTAAATCGGTTGACAAGCTACCAATACAGTCAATGAAACTGACTGTATCACTTTTTCGTAGCTGTATCTTTACTTACTGTATCACTATCTCGGAGCTTTATTTTTACTTACTGTATCACTTTCTCGAAGCTGTATCTTTACTTACTGTATCACTTTCTCGAAGCTGTATCTTTATCCTTTGGCAGAGCGGAGGAAACATTTCTGTAAAGACGATCTGTTCGTTCCAAACCGGACTGTAGGTGTTCTTCTTTACACTCGTTCTACCCTGAACACAGAAGAGTTGAAAACTTATAAATGCGGTTATCATGGTTCAAGCTCAATAGTGCTAATTGATGTTTTTGAATTAAAAACTATATTAGGATAACCCTAAGTGATCTGGGGTCGGAACTTGTTGTTGAGATAGTGTTAAACTGAACATTTTACTCTCACCCAGGGCCAGTACTAACCAGAGTGAGAAGCGTTCGGTTTATTTCATTTGTAATCACACGTGTTTTGGTCTATAATTCAACAATCTTTTACCTTACGGATTTGTTTATTTTATACTTTTTTTTATTCAAAACGTATTATGCCAATAAAAAAGTATTTAAGAAAAAAGGTTAAAAATTATTTTTAACGGGTAATTTGTGATCGAAAGACAAAGCTTTCAAAAATATTGATGGAACCGTTAAATCCACGGGCTCTTTATTCTGATCCGGAATATTTTGATTATCAAGAAATAGAGGCCGTGCATTTTTTAGAATATATTTTGTTTATTCCTGTCAATTTTATATAATTCTAGATTTATTAAAGGTTAATTGTTTCTTCACAACAAACTCTGATTTTCAAATCCCAATTCTTTACAACCCACTGTTGTAGAATTTAGATTTTTCATAGCATGAATTCTGATAGATCAAATAATCTAAGTTTGAAATATCTATAATAAATAAAATATAAAGTTGCAAAGATATAGGGATTACAAAATTTGAGTTTGAGGCAAAGACTCAACTTTTTTGATCCAAAAATGCATTTTCTATTGAAATAGAAATATTTTAAGTTAAACAATAAATTCAAAAAACAATTCATGCGTAAGTTAAAACTTCCATTTGATCTTTTCTAAAATAAATATTGTTAGAATTTCAAAGAATAATAATCAACAATGAAACTTATGTCAAAAAGCGTTTTTGGAATTTTTAAAAAGAATTTAAAATATTGTTTTAATAATGATTCATAATTTTTATATTAAATTATGCTAAATTATGATTCTGATTTTTCTTTGAATTTGATAATTAAATGTGAAGAAAAAAGGTGAGATTAATTACAAATAAAAATCGAATATTTCTAAAAGGATTATTTTGAGATTTGAATTTGGATAGAACCAACAATTTTATTAATCATTTGATCATTCTCTTCAATGTAAAAATAATCAACTCCCTAGGACTTTTTTTAGACTTTCATAACGCATAAATTAGGTAATATTTTTAAATATTTTTTAAAAAATAAGACTTTATATCCTTGTCTATTTGTCAAAAAAAAAATCAATTCAGCATTTATATTCTCATTCAGTTAACAGAAATAGCTGACATTATCAATTCAATGTACTGTTCTTTGTCAAATAAGCAAATTTAAAGATTTCTAAAAATAGTAATTGGGTTTCTAAATTTCTCAATATTTTTGTGAAAACTTCGCAACATTTTTGTGAAAACTTCACAAAATTCGTATAGAAATTCAGAAACTTCGCATTCAAGAAAGAGCTTACGTACCATTAACATGTCATCCATCATTTTTCTCAAATCTGCTCTTGAGCTTTTAAAGCCGGATTATAGAAAAAAGGTAAGAACTAAATTGAAAAAGAATTGTCTTAAAATTGATATAAATCAAATTGGTGAGCTCCTTGTGTCAATAATCTCTTTTTTAGTGCCAGAAAACCTGGATGAACTTCATAGAACATACTGGATGAAACAGCGCTCAGACAAGAAGGAAACCAAGTTCTTAGTTCCTAACGATGGGCCAGTAAATTTTGCAGCTGTTATTGATGATTATCTGAACGTGATTAAAAGTAGCCTTGGTCATTTCACGGGTCGAGTATTTTTTAAGGGTACTCCTGCTGCATATGCTGACCAGCCTATGGGGAAAAATCTTGTAAGTAAAGTGCCATGTGAAATGGCAACAGTTCTTGGTCTAGATAATCCAGTGTCTTTTACATTTCATTCTCTACGTCGCTCGTCCGCCACAGCAGCAGCTGACAGCGGAGCATCCGTTCAACAGCTTATGGATTTTTATGGATGGTCTAATCCGAGCATGCCTCAAGAATATGTATCATCAAGCAAAGCTTCTGTAAAATCCATGGCTGATAAACTTCAAGGACCTTCTAATCAAGTAGAAAAAACAGAGGTTAGCGAAGTCAGAATAGAGAATATTGAAAAGTGTTCCTTAGCTTCACCTCCTCAGAGTAGAAAGCCCTATGTGATTCAAAATGCAGACAAAATAGTAATTATCGAACATTTTCATGGGAACAACTTTACAATGTAATTATGTAAACCCGAAAAGAATGATGTAATATAATATATTTGATGACAGCTCAGTAAAGCTGTATGTACATGTTTTGATCTTTCCTAGATCAAATATTAAACTAGGTGTAGTTTACTATTTTATTCAAAATTGATTGAGAGAGTGATAAATGTAAAAATAAAATTAAATTAGAGAACTATTTATTTGATAAATCTGTATGGATCACAGGGAGGATAATTACTTATCCTCCCTGTAAAGAGGGAGGATAAGTAATTATCCTCCCTGTAAATAGGGAGGATAAGTAATTATCCTCCCTGGAAATAAAAAAGTAGGGAATTTAAGGTTGGTTATTTCGTTGAACAGGAGATTAAAAATAGAATTATAGAAATGTGGTTTTTTTTGTCTTGAAGGAACAGCGAGCATTTTCTATTATTATATTTTGTATCGAGAAAAAAAGGTTTATACAACAATATTTTCATTAAAAAATGAATGAGAATTAATTTTCTATAAAATACACCTATTTTAATTTCGTTTCTATTTGAATTAAAATATTAAAATTCTTTTGAACCAATCTTTAATAGAATGATTTAAAACAACTAATTTAATATGAGAAAGCAAAAAGCGTTAATCAGAAAAAATTATTTACAAGGATTTAGACAACATTCCTCCTCTGCAACTGAATGTATAGTTCATAATTCTGCCACAAGAGGTCACACTAAATTTATTAAACATTCTTGTTTTTCTTCTTAAAAAAGTAATACTGAACCACTCATAAAAAATGTTTGCTACAGTTTGAAGATGGCGAAGTTATCTATTCAACTTCTATGAAAAATATCTAAATTTCATTTTAAAATCTATTTTTCTTCGCAACTCCAAATAATTTTAAAATTAAATTCATTTATATAACATATTTGTAAAGTTAATTATTTCAGGTCTAATAAAATTGAAATTGGCCTACTTTAGGATATCTAAATATTTATTCAACATTAGTTAGTGCTCTGCGTAATGATGAAAATTTTGATTCTAAATAATATAAACTAATGGGATGATTTGTTCAGAGATCAGTGGCTTTCTAACAGACAGTCTGTCCTTGCCATGCCCCCTCTTTTTCTAATACTTCGATGGGCGTATCTGAGTCGAATTTAATGAATTTGAGCCGCGTCTCAAATCCACCAAAAATCTGTTTCAAGCCGGCGTAAATCCTGAAATATTCAATACAAATTTAAGCCACGGCTCAAATTCTTTAATTTCGGCCTCTGGCAATTTATAATTGCTGTATGATTTATGCAGTATAAGAAATTAGAAAATGGCAAGAATGTTTCTTTTTTTAAGATAGAAATTAAACGGACAATATCATCCAGAAGTCTCATTTACATGCATAAACATGTTTGAAGGGTACATTTGTGAATCAGGTACTTGAAGGGTACAGTTGTGAATCGGATACTTGAAGGGTACAGTTGTGAATCAGGTACTTTAAGGGTACAGTTGTGAATCAGGTACTTGAAGGGTACAGTTGTGAATCAGGTACTTGAAGGGTACAGTTGTGAATCAGGTACTTGAAGGGTACAGTTGTAAATCTGATACTTGAAGGGTACAGTTGTGAATCAGGTACTTGAAGGGTGCAGTTGTGATTCAGGTACTTGAAGAGTACAGTTGTGAATCAGGTACTTGAAGGGTACAGTTGTGAATCAGGTACTTGAAGGGTACAGTTGTGAATCAGGTACTTGAAGGGTACAGTTGTAAATCAGGTACTTGAAGAGTACAGTTGTAAATCAAGTGCTTGAAGGGTACAGTTGTGAATTGAGTACTTGAATTTAAACAAAACTGAAGCTAGGATGATAAAAAATAAAGATAAGGAAAAGATAAAAAAAAATAGATATTTGCCATCCTGATATAAAAATAATGTATATTTTAGTGAGTATTAGAATATCGACATGGCCTGAGTAGAATAAAACTGGTTTCTGGGATCTATGCATATTTAACAAACTAGAAAATTTTATTATATTAAAGGTATGTGCCCCGAATATGAAAGAGTTGGTATGGGGTGTTAACCAATATTATTTCATAAATCGGTTAAAATAAGGTTCATTGTTATTCAATCAATAAAGCTCTTTCCACAATATTTTCATGTTCGGTAAAACGCTGGTCAAACGGCTGAACCGAATTGGCTTTACAGTACAAATTAAGACTCTACAAGGAAAAAGGGAATAGTTCGCCAAAAAATTAGCCACTTCTACTGAAATTTATGTGTAATATTGGTAAAAAAATACATTTTTTTCTAAATTAAAATTTTCCCCCCAAAGTGTTTTTCAAAATTCTTAATTCTGTCAAAATGGTAATTTCAATTTTCTTCATGTTAAAAACAAATAGAAGTAGAGGAAAAGCAGTAGATTTCAATTTATTCTCATGTAAACATGATTCATCTATATATGCTTACTTTCCATAAAAAAATGTTTCATAATGGAATGAAATTTATTTATAGTTTTAAAAATTTTAAACTTCATCGCTTTTTGACAAAACTTTTGATGAGAAAGTTTAAAGAAAAAGATAAAACTATTTTGTAAAGTTTAAGTAGTTGTAGTCTCACACAAATTAGTAACTTAATATTAAAAAGTTAAGAGAAAAATTCACAATATTTGATACGTTTATCTACAGGGTGTCCCAATAAACATGGGAATTCAGTGACGAATTCGATATCGTCTTTTTAAATAATTCTTTGATTTAGTATAGTAATACCTACTGAGAAAGCTGTAATCTGTATAAGTTTCGTCTGCTATGTTCACATTTTGTTTGTTAATGTTTTGACTGCATACGGTTGTACTTAGTAAAACAAGAAAATTGCAGTATACAAACAGAGTAAACAGTTCATCTTGCGGAAACATTATAGACACATCTTTACAGCCGTTTACCGTTTTCTTAAAATAAACTCTAGCATAATATAAACCCATAATAATATTATGGGTTTGAAATCAGGTATTACAATGCTAATTCATAACAAAGACGATATCCAATTCGTCACTGAATTCCCATGTTTATTGGGTATACAAATTATAAAACATCAGTTTTACTACAGTGGAACACATACAACTGTAGAATAGGAAGACGACACATAAGCAATTCGATGTTGTTACAAAGCAAATAGGTTTGCAAGAAGTATTAACATCAATTTGGTCAAGTGAAATGGGCCTGTGTACACTGCACAATTTACGATTTTAATGTTTATTGGACTAATGTTTTAAATTATAACAGTCGTCTTTCTATTCCACAGTTTTATGAGCCCCACTGTATACTTACTGAGAGTCCAGCAAATGATACTTGAACGTAAGGATCGACTAGATCTCTAGGTGGTGCTCCGAATGCATGTTTCAGGTTTGCTACTAGACTGGAGTTCATCCTGAATAGAAATCCTTTCTTAATCATCTAATCTCATCCATTTTTAAACCTTTTAATGTCATCCATAATTATACCATTTAATCTCATCCATAATTTAACTATTTAACTCCATGATTAAACTATGTAAACTCATTTATAATTAAACCATGAAACTCATCCATGATTTAACCAAGAAACTCATCCATGATTAAACCATATAAACTCATCCATAATTAAACCATGAAACTCATCCATGACTTAACCAAGAAACTCATCCATGTAAACCATATAAACTCATCCATGATTAAACTATGTAAAGACATCCATGATTAAACCATATAAACTCATCCATAATTAAACCATGAAACTCATCCATGACTTAACCAAGAAACTCATCCATGATTAAACCATATAAACTCATCCATGATTAAACTATGTAAAGACATCCATGATTAAACCATGTAAACTCATCCATGATTAAACCATATAAACACATCCATGATTAAACCATATAAACTCATCCATGATTAAACCATATTAACACACCCATGATTAAACCATATAAACTCATCCATGATTAAACCATGTAAACTCATCCATGATTAAACCATATAAACTCATCCATGATTAAACCAAATAAACTCATCCATGATTAAACAATCTAAACTCATCCATGATTAAACCATAAAAAACATCCATGATTAAACTATATAAACTCATCCATGATTAAACCATGAAACTCATCCATGATTTAACCATATAAACTCATCCATGATTAAATCATGTAAACTCGATGATTAAACAGTCTAAACTCATCCATAATTAAACCATATAAACAAACACATCCATAATTAAACCATATAAACATATGATTAAACTAGGATTAGAATATGTATATGAAAACTACCTTGTGATTTAATTTCATTAAAGAAGAAAACTTTGACATAGTCCAAAAAAGCAACACCAAAAAAAGGTTAATACCTGGGTAAACCATCACCTCTATAGATTCTAATTATAGACTAGGTTAATACCTGGGTAAACCATCAGCTCTATAGATTCTAATTATAAACTAGGTTAAGACCTGGGTAAACCATCAGCTCTATAGATTCTAATTATAGACTAGGTTAATACCTGGGTAAACCATCAGCTCTATAGATTCTGATTATAAACTAGGTTAAGACCTGGGTAAACCATCAGCTCTATAGATTCTGATTATAAACTAGGTTAATACCTGGGTAAACCATCAGCTCTATAGATTCTTATTATAAACTTGGCTCTTTGTCGCTCTGATCTCACTCCAACAGGTAGTAGAAGGTTGCTGAAAATTAGGGAGAATTAAAGCGATTAATGAAAATTGCAAGAGATTTCCAAAGCGCGGTTTACGATTTATGTGCCTTCAAAGTTGAAAGAAAGGAAATAAATTCGTCCAGATTTTAATTCATGAAGTAAAACCACCTTAAAAATTGTCTACTTTAATTTAAAAGATACAGAGAAGGTGGACTATAAGCGTTTTGTATAATTTGTGCGTTTTTTCATCGACATCGCGCGGTATCGGTGGTTTCAATGGAATATATTAAATAAAAAGTAACGTTCACAATATTAAACTATGAAATAGGATATAACTTATAAGAGAATAATTAAAATTTTAATATTTTTTTTGTATTTCTCACCCTTCAATGTCGTCTTCATCACGTTCACTTTTTGTGGGTATTTTTACTGCATCCCCCTGTAGCGATCAACATTGTATTTAAAAATTATTTTTGAATTTAATTCATCAATTTTTTTTTTGAGTAGCCCTCAATGTGCGAATGCCTTTTTTGCAAGGATGTGCAAGGACTAAAGTTATATTATATCGCTTTTCCTTTGTTATTATACTGATATCACATTTAAGGTAACCTGGATACAGAAAATACAGGAAACTATTATTTTTTTCAATATAATAATTTTCACTTTTTATCTTCATTCGCTTTATGTAATATATTAAAAGTGGGTATAGTTATTTTTGTTTGACTTTAGACATTTCAGGTTAGTTTTGAACAGGCTACAAAAGAGTCAGAGATATGGGGGAAGGATTTTGAAATATGATAAACAATTCTGATTGTGAAACCTATTAAGAGTAAACCACTTGAATGTTTAAAAGCGAGCTGAAAACGACGCCCAATTCTACGGCGGTAAAAGTAAAACTGTCGGTTGAGTCGGTTAACTAATAGTTTATTTAAATTGTCTAAACTCTAATTAATAGAAGTACATTTAGAGTTGTTTTAAAAAATCCATGCATTTTCATAAAAACGTAATTAATTAATTAATAATTAATAAATTAATTAACCATTTATGACAGATTCAAAACAATGCCATTGAAACCTTTAGCTGATCTTGAATATGGAAGATTTTCTCTTTATTCAGATCTAAAAATATTAATTTCTTATAGTTCCTATACGATTTCCTGCAGTAGAAATGCGCAAGTCACTTTTGTGGAGAAACCACAATAGAAATTGATAAGTTTTAAAATTGTAAAATTGATATCTTATTCTTACTTTATTTCCAAAAATATGGAATTCGATTGAATTAGAGCTTAAAGAATCTAAATCTGCAAAATCGTTCAAAAGAAAAGTCGCCAAGATCTATTTAGATAGTTATGCAAGTTATATCTGTAAAAAAAACTGTGTATCATGTGGATAAACTTAGTCTTTACTATCTTCTTCACCCTGTAGTTCATAAAAATGATTTTAAAACATGTTACCCTCTGTTCCAACCCTTACGCTGAGTATCCTCCCTTTCCATTATACTCCCTCACCTCCTCCTTACCTTTTTCCTGATTTATTATCATTCTTATGTTTAAAATGTGCAATGTACATTGTTTTTATCTGCAATTCTCATTCGTTTATAGTGGGCCAACCAATTAAAACAACCTACTCTGGTTAGGCGGGTCCAAACTACATAGTAAATTGTGATTTTTTTATTTTTATTTTCTCGTGCTTTGTAGTTGAATAAAAATATGAAATACTTGATCAGATAAAGCTTTTAAGTTGCACCGTTTGGAATCGGGCATTGCAATCTTTGTATGGAGGGTCCGAGTCCCTTTTATAAACAATCACAGAATGCAGTTCTGTACTCAAGCAAACAATTCCAAACATTTCTGCAAATTAGAAAAAGTTGTTTCTAAAAAAACATGAACAATAACTTTCCCCACTACTCAGAAATTCTCCCCGATCTGAGCTGGGAACTCTTGTATTGTGTCGATTAATATCAATTCTTGATCTTGATCTTTTGTTAATCTGCAGATTAATTTAATCTCTATTCGATATCCTGCAATGTAAGTGCACCCTGAAATAAAGAGTTTAAGCAGGGATCCTCAATTAAAAGTGTTCACTGTGGATATCTAGATCAAGTGCCCGGGATTGCAAATATCCAACACAAAAGTTACCAGAGCTGAGATGGGAACTTTTGAATGGGATATCCTTAATTCTGATCGGATAATTAATCTGGCGATTGAAAATGAGTGGAGAACAAGCAATATTTAATCTCCAGATTAAGAAAAAGAGTGGATTAAGCCTTAATCCCGATATCCACCATTCTAAAGTTTTCAGCTCTGGGAACTTTAGAATGGTGGATATCAGGATTAATACTTGATCCACTCTTTTTCTTATCTCCAGATTAAATATTGCTTGTTCTCCTCATGAATTTAATCTCCAGATTAATTAACAGATCAGGATTAAGGATATCACATTCTAAAGTTTTCAGCTCAGCTCTTAGAAAATAAAATAAAAAGTTTGTGAAAGAATTTTGTCATATTTGAACAATTAGTTATTTACATTTAATAAGACAATTTCTTTTTTTAAGTGAGGAGTATTTTCGGATGTAAAAATGTTTTAGTACTTTATCAAGATAATTCTTAGAAGTCAAAGTTAGATTTTACAAATGCCTGAAAATGATGTGAACCTTTTTTAATGAAATTAATCACATCTAATATTTCCCGTTGTAAGGCGATAATGTAACGTTATCAACATGGTTCTGAAATTTCAAATTTCGCACCTAATTTTTCCAGTTGATTGAAGTAAAAAAATGAGTAAAATTGAATAAAAAGTTAAAATCACAGCATAAACTTTTTCGCACTCAATAATACCCATTATCTACGACATTAATAGATATTTAAATTATGTTTTAGTTTAATAAAATTTCTGTATTTTCCTTTAGGTCCGCCCGTAGTGTCATCTGGGTCGGTTAGTAGAGCCCACTTGTGATAAAACTGATGATCTGAGAAAATGAAATCATTTATCGACATATATATAAAGTAGTAATCTCTGTTAGGATGTATGTGCAATCATAACTCAGGAACCCCTGGACCGATTTGCATCAAACTTTGATTGGGGAACTCACTAGAACCCCAGAAATGTTCATAGTTTGGTTAAAAGTTTTTAAATTGTGTGGGTTGACTTTTAAAGAGAAAAAAAAGTTTCCATGCAAAGTTTTGTTCCCTAGCTATAAGAGTAAAGTAATAAAAGTCAATTATTTTAAAATAAATTTGGCATAATAATGTTATAAGCTTGTCTCAAAATGGAATTACCTTTGCAACCTGATGGAGTAAACCTTGGATATTTCAAACTTTAAATAGTTGATCTAATAGTTTAAAATTTTAATAGTCTACGAAAAAAAGAAGTTTACTAGGAATGAATAATGTTCACACTCTTCTTTTAAAGTTTAACTTCTTCTTCGAACTCTTTACAGTTCTATCCAAATTATCAAAACAAAAAATTAGAATCCCAAATGGTAAACCCAAAAAGTTACATGACTGTGTTTACCTTGTTGTGCCATTATAGTTGCAACATCCATGTGTTTACTTTGTTGTGCCTTAATAGTTGCAGCATCCTAGTGTTTACCTTGTTGAGCCTATATAGTTGCAACATCTATGTGTTTACCTTGTTGTGCCATAATAGTTGCAACATCCATGTGTTTACCTTGTTTTGCCATAATAGTTGCAACATCCATGTGTTTACCTTGTTGTGCCATAATAGATGCAACATCAATGTGTTTACCTTGTTGTGCCATAATAGTTGCAACATCCATGTGTTTACCTTGTTGTGCCATAATAGTTGCAACATCTATGTGTTTACCTTGTTGTGCCATTATAGTTGCAACATCTATGTGTTTACCTTGTTGTGCCATAATAGTTGCAACATCTATGTGTTTACCTTGTTGTGCCATTATAGCTGCAACATCTATGTGTTTACCTTGTTGTGCCATAATAGTTGCAACATCTATGTGTTTACCTTGTTGTGCCATTATAGTTGCAACATCCAGTTTAAAGCTTCCTAACACAACCCCTGTGCGTAAAAACTGTCGTTGCATTACCTTGAAAAGAATAAAATAGAAACAGTGCTTCCAATAACTATAAAAACTACCTTTTACATCAAGACCACGCAGTGCTTCCCATAAATAAAAGAATTTACCCAAAAGAAAGAAAAAAATATGAGGTATAAAGAGTGTAGCCTTAATTTTAAGTGAACCTCCATTTGAAGAGTAGTCCGATTCACAATGGTACTCTTTGAATAATTGTGGTTTCTCTATTAAAGTGACGTGCGGATTTATGTTGTCAAGACAATGAAGGAGATTGTCAGAATTCAATACTTTTCGAAATAAAAAAAACTACAATATTTTCTCATTGTTTCTCAGATAAAGAGATACAGACTTCTGTTGTGAATCGGACATGGCACTTTATCAATGGAGGATTACGTCTTCAGTCCCTAAAAACTAAACAAGTTATTCCCGAACTTATGTACCCTGGGCGTCATGTACAGTTCTGACATCAAGTTTAAAATGTCCAATACATGTTCCCTGGCGTAGGAACTTTCGATCAGACATCACCTGTACAGTACATAAATATTAACTCATATATTTATATATATGTATGTACAGTTATTAAAAACTAAAAAAAGTTCAAGAAAGGAGTATAATAAGTATTATTTATATCGAGTAAAAATAAGAAAAGCTTTCATTATGAAAAAAAATGGTTACTCTTAATACGCTACAACTTCATAACCTGCCCTTTGTAGCACAGTCTGTGTGATATATTTTTTATTTTAAATGTTTTTAAAAATTCAGGCATTTATTTTATTTTTAAGAGGTTCCCAAGCTTTTTAGAGTTGTGAAAAGGTTTTACTTTAAACAAAAACGTATTACCTTAAATGATTTTTCAAAACGATTTATAATCTTTATAATCAAACCAATTGTTTTTTATTTTGGTCTTTTATTTTTTGTTCAAGTGAAATTTACTAAATGTATACAGTCAAAAATTGAAGATAATACAATTATGTATTTTGATACAAATCTCATAAGCCTATTAAAAAGCAACACATCTTTAATGCTTAAAAACCAACCATAAACGATACTAATCTTTACAAAAAGCACTGACTTAGTTTCAAGTGAACCTTCATTTATAGAGTGGCAGGTTCGGTTCACAACGGTAACATTTGAGCATTTGCCTGATCAAGGCTCCATACTTGTTTTTGTTTTCGTTATTATGAGTTAATATGAACAGCATGGGCAGCCGTAGTACATTTGAATTTCCGAGCCGGGTCAACCTTTCTGGTCCCAGTTTGTAGTGTATCAACCGGACATTGGGTAAATAAAGCAGACACTCAATAGGACTAGGCGGTGCAACAAGGTTGACGCGGTCAGACTTTAGGTTGAATTTACTTTTACTAAAGGGTCAGGGGTGCGTGACAGAGACATATAATTCAATTAATGAAATTAACAGAATTTAACATTTTTTAAACACGAAACCCGACAATATCTTTCCAGTTGTTGCTCAGAAGCTGTGAATTAGAAATACCACTCTATAAATGGAATACTACTCTATAAATGGAATACCACTCTATAAATGGAATACCACTCTATAAATGGAATACCACTCTATAAATGGAATACCACTCTATAAATGGAATATACCACTTGAAACTATGTACACTGTTCCTTTAATGACAACACAATACATTGTTGAGCAGACAGTAATATCCTCAACTATGATTGTTGTTGACAACACCTATTTAGGAGAATCAAAGATCTTTCAGATAAGACAAAATAGGACATAATATATTAAAATAGGACACTTCAAAAAAAATCAAAAAATATTAGGAATAATATGAAAAAATACGAAGCAAAAAACTAAATGCGACAAATATGATAAATTATATGAAATTGGACAAATATTGTTAAAAGAATGAAATATGTTAATATATAAAAAAAGATCAAGTATGGCACATAATAGGGAGGGGGGGGGGAGTTATTATGACAAAAGATATATCTACTTAAAGGGACAGTAAAGGAAGGGGGTATAAGATGAAACCTGAGAATCTCAGGCGTTGAACGATACATATAAGACGTCCATCTGATGTTCCTATCTCGGGAAATGAATATGAAACTGTGTCAAATTTATACTAAAATTCATACATATCTAATTTTGTTTAAAAGTTGTTGTTTTAAACAGATCATATTTAGCAAATACGAAACCAATCTGAAAAAGACTATATCCTACAGAAACCTGAGAATCTCAGGTTTGCTTCTGTTATAATTATTTAATTTTTATTTTGCATTTTTATAATATAATTGATAATATTATTACATTTAATCCGTTTAGTCCGTATTACGTCACCAGTATTTCAGCCAATGGCAGTGCAGTATACTGGTTACATGATTTGCGTCTGTAACACATGAGGAGATACTGCACTGTCATTGGCTGAAGTTATTGTGACGTAATACGGACTAAACGAACTATATGTAATAATATTATCAATTATATCTATTCAAAAGGCAAAATCAAAGTTAAAAAGTTATATTAGGAGCAAACCTGAGATTCTCAGGCTCTTGTGGTTTCATATTTGTTGAATATGATCTGTTTAATACTACAACTTTTATACAAAATTGCATATATAAGAATTTTCGAATAAATTTGACACAGTTTTATATCAATTTCTCGAGACAGGAACATCAGATAGATGTCTTATAGGTATCGTTTAACGCCTGAGATTCTCAGGTTTCATCCTATACCCACTTTAATTTTTCCTTTACAGTCCCTTTAATTAAAACAATCTACAACTTCAACCTTCACTTCATCTCTGGTTCTCATAAATTAAATGTCATCTGGCCAGTGGCTCCTGTATCGTGTATCCTGTATCCTATATCCTATATCCTGTATCCTGTATCCTGTATCCTGTATCCTGTATCCTGTATCCTGTATCCTGTATCCTGTATCCTGTATCCTGTATCCTGTATCCTGTATCCTGTATCCTGTATCCTGTATCCTGTATTCTGGTCAGTGGTTCCTGTATCCTGTATCCTGTATCCTGTATCCTGTATCCTGTATCCTGTATCCTATATGCTGTATCCTGTATCCTGTATCCTGTATCCTGTATCCTGTATTCTGGTCAGTGGTTCCTGTAGATGTATTCTCTTTCAAGAATACATTATTTTGCTGGCTAGGGAGTTGAGTAAATTTAAAATATGTAAATAACAATTCCTCCATATAATAAATAATTTCTCACAGCCCTAGTTATTATACATTGTGTACTTTGAGTTTATTTTTACTTGATGTTCATCAATCTTAGGTAATACTGGCTATCATGTAATAGCAATCTTTATAACGGGTATAAAAAGGGTGTCGATTGCTTGGAGTATAAAAATCTGAACAACTTTAAGAGATATTGTTTTCTGTACTTGGAGTATAAAAATCTGAACAACTTTAAGAGATATTGTTTTCTGTAAAATCAATTTTAGTAGGACGAACTTAATTTACAAGGAAAAGACTACCGGTAGATTACGTTTTTTTGTAAGTTTTTCGATGTTTCAAAATTGTTAATAATGTGGCCAAAAAACGGGTATTTAAAATACTTTTTTGCCACCATCTTTTTTATTTGTGAACTTATTTTAATAATGACAATATCTGTGTTTGAAACATTATCTTTTTGTTTGTTTGAAGAGTTTTAATGGAATTTTCAAAATCGACCTTCTTTAGGATATAAAGATCTTTTTAATCTTTTTTACGTGAATTAAGATTATTATTACCGTTAGTGTGATAATCTTGTCGAAGAGCATTACTGGTGCCATGTGGAAATCAAACACAAAATACTAAAATATAAAATATTTTAGTTATTTAAAAAAGGAAAGAAACCTAAATCAGTTTAGTAAAAAATGAATCTATCACTCCATATGAATTCGGTTTACATATATTTTTGATTTTTAGATACATGGGTTACCTACAAGAGACTTCAGACACACGACATAACTCAAATTATTTAGCCTATTTTCTTAGATTCCTGATACCCTGCAGGTGCACACTTGTGTTTATCTTTGCCAGATCAATTAATAAATTTTTTACAAAATTAATAAGGTACACATGTCCTAATTTAATCATCTTTTAAATTTTTAAAGCCTCATCCTTCTTTTAACCCTAAACAGGCTGGGGGGGGGGGGGGGGTGGAGCGTTTGGCGCCCCACTTTGTAGTTTTTTTGTCCTAGCATTCTCATTTTTGACACTATCACCGTGAAATTTTTTGACTTTCAATGATTTTTTGTTAAATTATTTTTTAATTTGTTGGGTAGGGTACAGGGCGGAAAAAGTCTGGTCTGTGAAAAAAAAAATTAAAATAGCCCATAACTTTTTTTGTGGCTAAAGCTACGGATCTAAAAACTATATTTTTGAAAAGCTCTTTAAATATGCATGTTGAAACATGTGTCACACTTTGATATTTGTTTTTTTAAAAAAATATTTTTTTTTTTACTTTTTCGACCCTTTTTAGGCATTCTTTTCAACCCTCCCTAGCAACCAAACTATTAAAGTTATCGGTCTAATTTTTTTCTATGAGCTGCCTTTAAAAATTGGGCTATGAACATGCATTTCACCCTATACCTATTCTGTAAGGCCTTTTTCCAGAGGGGGGGGGCGCCAAACGCCCCACCCCAGGCTATGCATAGATTCAGCCCCCCCCCCCCGCCTTTATAGGGTTAAGAAACTTTATAATCTTCTACATTTGTCATCTACTAAATACGAGATCTTTATATAATTTAATCCGATTCAGACCCCCCCCCCCCGCCTTTATAGGGTTAAGAAACTTTATAAACTTCTACATTTGTCATCTACTAAATACGAGATCTTTATATAATTTAATCCGATGTGTGACACCCTGTAACCAGCAAAAGAATCTAATAAAACATTCTAAAATGTTTATCCCGAATTTTCTCTACATTCGTAGACTTAAAGATAAATGCAGGTTGAGAAAATTGTATTTTAAGGTAATAAATTCTACAATTGTGCCACAATCCTATATCAGACTTTTAGATATATAGTACAAGCCTAGCATAAAGGGATTGTATGCAATTTTCAACTTCAACATTAAACCCTAAACAGGTTTTTTTGGGCTACCACTCTCACTTTTGACACTATCACCCTGAAATTTTTTTACTCTTAAGTATTAGAAATGTAAAGGATTTTTTGTAAAGGAATTGAGTCTTTGCCACAAACTCTGATTTTCTAATCACTATAACTTTGGAACCAAATGTTGTAGACCTTAGATATTTCAAACTATGAATTCTGTTAGATTAAATAATTTAAGTTTGAAATATCAAAGGTTTACAACATCGGGTTCTAAAAATATTGAAGTTTAAATATTTGATTTTGTTCCGAAGACTCAATTCCTTTGTTGTTTTGTTTAATACATAAGGTAGGGTACACCGTACAGGACAGTAAAAAGGCCGGTCGGTGTTAAATAAAATCTAGAATAACCTATAACTTATTTTTGTGATTTAAGCTACAAATGTAAAAACTACATTTAAGAAAAAGCCCTAAAAACATATGTCGCATCTTAATATTTGTCAAAAAAAAAAAAAATGTGTTTTTTACATTTTTCCGAAATTTTTTTCCAACCTTCCTTGCATCCAAACTTCTCAGTAAAAGAAACGTATGTTTTCCGACTGTATTTAGCTTTAAATAAAAACCCCTCTATGGCTATGATACTTTTTAGGGAAGACAAAATAAATAATACGATATGCATGTACGAAAACAAGTTTAAAGAACGTGTATGAATTTCAACTTTATATATTAGAATGATTGAGCCAGGAAGTCAAAGATATAATTGTTAGAATCAAATTAACTTTTTAAATTAGTAGATTTCTCTACTGATATATAGCTCATTATAGTATGGACAATTATTAGATTCCTTCACTGATATATACCTCATTATAGTATGGACAATCAGTAGATTCCTTCACTGAAGATATATACCTCATTATCGTATGGACAATCAGTAGATTCCTTCACTGATATATACCTCATTATAGTATGGACAATTAGTAGATTCCGTCACTGAAGATATATACCTCATTATAGTATGGACAATTAGTAGATTCCTTCACTGAAGATATATACCTCATTATAGTATGGACAATTAGTAGATTCCTTCACTGATATATACCTCATTATAGTATGGACAATCAGTAGATTCCTTCACTGAAGATATATACCTCATTATAGTATGGACAATTAGTAGATTCCTTTTCTGATATATACCTCATTATAGTATGGACAATCATTAGATTCCTTCACTGATATATACCTCATTATAGTATGGACAATTAGTAGATTCCTTCACTGATATATACCTCATTATAGTATGGAGTAAGGTACTAATGCAAGGAAAGTTAATTGCGTTCGTATATACTCTATGTACATATTGAAACCAGTTCTCTCTAGGCGGAATATGTAAACAAGAGTAGATGCATCAGTGTTCGTCTAATATCCGAGGAGAATAAAAGCATTTAATTTTAATAATTTTGAAAATTCACATAATAGTTTCCTATGAGCAGAATATTTCATAGATTATTTTTGCGAAACTTGATTCCATGTCAGGCTGTGACATCCGTCTTGTGTTTACTTTTCCGCCCAAAGACAGTACACTGCAGTACAAAAAATGCGTACACCTATGAAATAACTTTCCTTGCAGTAGTACCTTGGTTTTGACAATCAGTAGATTCCTTCACTGCAGATACATACCTCATTATAGTATGGACAATTAGTAGATTCCTTCACTGCAGATACATACCTCATTATAGTATGGACAATTAGTAGATTCCTTCACTGAAGTATACTTTTTCGTGTCTCCAACCTATAAAAGAAAACATGAATCTGTTTCTGTTTCTTTATTTGCCCAGGGTTTATAATTCTAATCTGAATAAGGAAACTATAATTAGCCTTTTGCTCTGTATTTTGCAATCTTTGCAACCTGATGACCCAGATCTTAAAAAACTTCAAATTCTAAGATGTGTTGTGAATCAAATGGCTCCACGGTCAATTGCATAGAACAAATTCCAGAATAATCTGTTTCTTTATCTCCTAATTTAATGTATTCAATTTTTCTTTTCCACCCTGTATAAAACTTTTGTACTGCAAATATAATGTTAGTTATTGTTTTACAAAAGAAAAATGATACTTTTGGTCAGAGACAATAATTATGCATATTGTGCTAAATGCTTTCTTTAAATTTTGCATTGACGATATAAAATGATGAAAGTGCATTATCTGAAAACAATGTACTCTACACTTTGCAGGAAACATGCCGCAATATTTAAAAACTTAAGATTGCACAATGTTGAATTGATGCAAATTTTTCCATAAAATATTTCACCCACTTTTACGTAGCCTTACGCTACTACATATAATATCGTATAGATTCCTGTACAATGCATAGCATACAATAACTATACTGTACACTACCTGTATAATACCTGTACACTATATGAATACTACCTGAACACTATTTGTACACTTACTGTACACTACCTGTACACAGACTATACTGTAGAATACCTGTACACAGACTTTACTGTACACTACCTGTACACAGTTTATACTGTACACTACCTGTACACAGATTATACTATACACTACCTGTATACAGACTATATTGTACACAACCTGTATACAGAATATACTTACACTACCTGTACAAAGACAGTATTTACTGTACACTACTTGTATACAGAATATACTGTCAGACCTGTACAAAGACTATACTATACACTACCTGTACATAGAATATACTGTACACTATACATGTACAAAGACTATACTGTACACTACCTGTTTATACATATTTCTGGAATATTCTGTATATATATATTTTAAAGAATTTACTCCTCGAAAAATGTTTATCTGAAATCTGAGGGAAAAAATGACATATTTCCCCTCATATTTATTCTTTTTACGCAAAATTTATTTATTTTCCCCAATTTTGGAATAAAACCAGAAAGATTTTCTTCCCTACTTTGTATTCATTGAGTCTAATTGATTAGAATATAGTCTTTGATTGGAGTATTGTTACAATATACTAGTATATATATTATATATATTATATATATATTCATTAATAATCTAGTCCTTGTTTTATACTAATTAGTAACACACACATATATATATATATTTGTTTATATAAAAGTAGAGAATACAATATATATATATGATTGTATATTATTGTTTTACACAAAAACAATATATGTCATTATTTTTTCTTTGTCTAAATTAGTTTGTTTGGTCTAAGAAGCAAACAGTAAAATGAAATGGGGTTCCGTCCACAAAATGTTGTAGGAACAAACAAAGCCAACAAGTGACCACTGCTAGGTAACAAAAACAAAGCAAAAAGTAGTGTTTGTATCTCGACTATGGAGCGGTGAAATAGAAATTAAATATTTCACTTCTTGATCGAGAAAGAGTAAAGCAACAAGAATATGTCTAAGCTTTCAGAACAAATAGTTGTTAGGTTATATGTTGTTACAAATAAGCTATATAATTGTAAATCGAAAAGTCTATACAAGCAGACAATCGATCTGAGCCTTTAATTATACATTCATTAAAAGCAATATACTTTCTGCATGTGGGTTTTGAATAGATTGAAGTTGAGAAATAAAGTGCTTTGATGAGACAATGCTAGATCAAAACTTGAATACTCCGAGACAGTCCAGATTGCTCTTTTCAGTTTCGCATGAAAAGTTATAAAAGTCGTCGCCAAAAACTGAGATTATCTAATTTTCTAATCTTTGCAGTCCAAACCGGCATACTCGTTAGATGGTCAAACTATGAATTGTGGAACAGAATTTCTGTTAGATCAATAGTCAAAGTTTGTAATATCAAAGTTTTAAACTATTAGGTTGCAAATGTTAAGATATATGGATTATAAAATCAAAGTTTTTGGCAAAGACTCAATTCCTTTGTTCACATTTTATCAGGCTTTTCCCGTCGTCGTCTTTCTGATTTTGACTCAACCTTCTGCATGGCTACCTTTGTTCGGTTCGGTTTCTTTTCTGGAGCAACTCCTGCTCATCCCTTTCATCCTGTTCATTCCTATCCTCATCTTCATCCTCATTCTTTCCCTCCTTTTCCTCATCCTCATACTCCTCAAACCTCTCTCTATTCACGGATTTACAAACTTAAAAAATAAAAAAAAAATAAAAAAATAAACTTAATCTTTAATGCCATATCAAAAAACATGAGTTTTAAAAAACTTATCAATCATCAAAATAAAACTTTAGGATTTCACCATTCAACACTTGCCTTAAATTCATATCTTCTAATCCTCATATCTTTGCAAAAAGAAAAAGGAAATTGAAAAAATAAATAAAAATGTTTGCTTTAAACATTCCTAAGTTCAGGTTCAAATTGAAATCCTAGGTTTTCATGTTCATGATCATCTTTTTTTCTGCGAGGAGACACACCCCTCTTTATTTTCTTTAGAGCCTTCATTTTGGTTTACTTCTGCCTCTTGCGTAATAAGAAGGGGTTCACGCCTTTTTACGCAGAATTTTCCATTTTGTCTGGAAACATTTTTTTAATTGCCCCTTTTCATGGACAGATTTTTCCTTGTTTTTTAGCAGATTTTTCTTTGTTTTTTTTAGCAGATTTTTCCTTGTTTTTTCTTATTTCTGAACAGATCTGTCCTTGTTTCTTAAAAAATTTGTCCTTATTTCTGAACAGATTTGTGCTTATTTCTTCAAAGCTAGATTTGTCCTTTTTGTTAACAAATCCTTCTTTCTCTCTGTATAAATCTATCCCTATTTTACTGTCCTCATTACTGTACAAAGCCCTCTATGTTCATGTTCCTATCCGATTTCTTGGATAGTATAAATAGGTCCTTATTTTTTCCCCGCCAAAATTTGTCCTTAAAACAATACAAAATCGCCATGAATACTAAATTAGCCTTTTAATTTATTATTAAAATTAGTCTGTATTCTTAAATCATAAACCTAGAATATAAATTTTTCCAATCCCCTNCCCCCAGTTACGTTCGTCGTGTATGGTTACGCAAGATGGGGCTAATGCATTCTCAGAAACTTTTTCTATTTTGTCTCTCACGTGGATTCAAGTTTTCTCTTTTATCCGCCAATATTGTCTCCAGAGGCAAGACACAGATCAGGAAGTCAACGATGGATCGATCATTGACGCGGACCGCCCTGCATATCTAGCGTGAAGGAGATTTACTAAACACTCAGCTGCATGTAGCTGTATATTTCGAGTTAATCAATCAATCTAGTGGTTCCGGTGAGGGATGTGGTTAGAACTTAATCTCAGTAATTCTAGAAAAACAAAATTTTTTGCGTTAGGCCCATTATGCTATTCAACAAGGGCAGTTTCAGGGGGGGGAGGTAGCAGTCCATTACCCCCCCCCC